TCAGTCAAGAAACACAAACTTGTAGTACTCACGGACGTTCTCGTTGTTACGATCCCACTGTCGATCCATCTGGCGGCCAACACCTGGACTCTTTCAAGCTGTCCCCGCTGCAGGGTGACTGCTTCCACAAGATGTCGCTCGATGAAAGAACTGATTCCATGACTTTGCCACTCAAGAACTTCTGATAGGAAGACATCTCTTCAAGGTGGCACTCGACTCGCACAAAGCTTGTGATATGGTTTTCGTCTAGCCCCGGATGCACAGCAGAATCAGTGGTGGCTCTCCAATGCATCAAATGTTCGAACACATAGCTGCAAGGCGAAACTACAAGCCAAAACACCTGTCTGTGAGATTCGTTGCCGCTGCTGACCCTCTCACTGGCTGGTGCTGCCGCAAGAGCGCTTCACAACATGCACATGAACTAATATTCTCAGTGCCACGCCGTACTCGCCTACATACACAGGGATATGCGTGTCCTTGGCTGCACAAGGTCAAGGTTGCGAGAGCACCTGCATCACGATGAAGGAAGCAGTCTTGGGGAATGGTGCACTGATGCACACTCCCATATGATTGGTAGGAAGGGTGAGTGGATAACATAACCGTGACAACTGAGCAACTCCCCACGCTTTGGAACTACAGCTGTCCAAACTCCAGCAGGTCACTAGAGCCCTTGTTTGAGGATGCCATCATGCAAGCACCTACAAGAGACCACTGTACTAGACAATCACAAAGCATGGCGACTTTTGGCCTTCCTTGCGCAGGATTACGGGTAGATCGGGATGCGAACGATCTGTTTGACGGAACAAGTCTCGAATGCCCAATCGCGGAGGTCTTTGAACTTGAAGATCAAGTCTGCCAGGGTGCCGACTGTTCAAGAAAGACTGCCTACACTGCCTGCACCTCCTCTCGTCAACATGAATAATCTCCGAAGTTGCCTTTTTTCATGGCATTGGGGTTGGCATAGTAATTGGAGTGGCCATTCTCGCCGCAGAAATCATACGGATCCTGAAGTCTGCAGTTCGTAGCTGGCGCAAGCAACACGGGGCGCCCACTTCAAGTCAGGCGCATATGTGTGCACGGTGACGCCCACGCAGGCCTGGGCTCTGGCAGCGCAAGCATTTCACCCTTGAGACGAATGCACCAGAAGCTGTCTGGGACACAAAGAGGGTTCATCTGCTCGGAAACTCAGCACGTTTGCTCTTGCCTAGATCGTCACGTCACCAATCACCAAACAGCAGCTGAGCAACATCCTTGCCACTTCCCGGCAGACTCCACTTGGAAGGGTAAAGCGCTTTGGCGGTGCCTCCGCGCGAAGACAGCTTAAACACGGAGCTGACTTCATGCCTAGGTCCTAGGTGAGATCACGACGAAGGGTTCCAGAACCAAACATTGATACGCAAAGCACAGATCCAAATCTTAAGAGCGAATGATCACGGCCTATACTGGACATAGCATTGGGGTGCAGGAAGATCATGCGGTCCTGTCGCAGGGAAATGCGCAGAAACTTATTAGACCCGCATGCCTCAAGATCAAGGATCGCAATCCGGAGCTCCAGCAACGCGAGACTTGCAAGAAACATTCCTCCACCGCAGATGTCGTCATCGTCCGATGTGAGTTTCCACCATCAAATCGACAAGCACTGCAGCTCTTGGAGTCCCTGGTTTTCAAACTTCTGGCTGCAAGGCCTTGTTGCCGGCAACACTGCGGATGGCGGCATAGCCCAAGCCATTAACCTCCCGCGTTCGGTCGATCGCGAGCCTCGAATCAAAAACTAGGGGACGTGCGGCATCAGCCCAGTGGGCTTTTCAGACTGACAACTCGAAGAGCCAGTCGACACTAAGTGACCGCAAAGGTCAATGTGAAACTAGCTGCTTGTTGCACTCCTGAAACATGGCAACTGCCGAAGTAGGGCAGCAGAGAGTGTGAGGAAAGTTGAAGCTCCGGCCAGACAGGAGTTCCGAAATTGAGATGGAAAGCCCTCCAACCCACAACACGGACAGAAGCCCCAAACAGGGCGGCAGACATCCAGAATTTGAGCTTTGCACGACCCCCCCAGACGAGGCGACTATGACCCACATCGCTACCAAGGCTTCGAGCGCGCACGACTCCTAAGTCTCAACCGACTCCTAAGAACCTCGTGCCCGCCCCGGCCCCATCATGATCTGGCTGCAAACAAAGTTCTGGTCGTATGGATGTGGATATCCGTTCCAGCTTCCGAAAGCCTTGTCCGGCTCCTTAGCTCTTGGCCCGGCGAAGTCAATTCTGTGCGGGCTTTCAATGAATTTTCCAGTGTTTTCACTGGTGCCGCTCATACTCAAGCAGATATTACGGCCTCCACTGCATAGATTATTCAGAACACTGCCCTGACTGTATTCGAAGAGCCGTCCTTATAGGCTCTGCCCTGCGGCCTAGATGCGTTGAGCACTTCGAAGCTCAGCCTGCCTCGGGGTTTTCGTGAGGAGCGCCGGCAGCACAAAGCATGCCAAAGAAAAGGCACTGCCAGATGAGATGTTCGCATCTGACTTGCCTATCACGCCATACTTGCAGGGCTTGTCTGGGGTTGGCGAGAACTGAACCGCCCGAAAGCGATTCTTGCGGTCGCAGTCACTGGACTTGTACGCGAAGTGACCTGCGATGCCAGTCCTTGCCAATGCCAACTGACAGAAGGCCGATGAATGCGTGTCCCCATCAGCAACTGCATCTTGCAACATCCAATGTGTTGTCAGAGGACTTCCGAAATTGCTGACGAGACAAGCACAACTGCGAGTCTATCTGTGAAGCTGCTGATCATGGGTATCTTTCATTGACGTGAACGCCAAGGTCAGGCCAGCAGCAGCCTTGTTTTACTGGTAGCCTTCTTGAACAGGCCAGGCCGGCCACGAAAAGGCTTCCAAAGCTTTTGCCGAGGCACCAGAGGTTCCAAAACTGATCCTTGTAGTGCCTCGGTCCGGCAAACCTTTGCCGCTAACCCATCCTGAATCCAAGTTGGACCGGAAATCTTGCTCCCTGGGGCACAAATCCCGTGCTCCGCAGGCGGAACTGCTAGACCGCAGCCCTAGCAGCGACGATGATCCAATCCGGTGCTCCTTGTGACTATGCGGGGTCTATGTGACAGAAGCTAATGAGGGACGTTCCTTATCCACTTGTTAGGTGTTTCCCTTATCCACATCGTGCAGTCATCACATGAACTAACACACCACACCATACCACACCACCCTCCTTTCCTCTGATCAGATTTGATGAGCCCAGCTGCTGGGATCCGTCGTAGCCGTCCTTCAGCCAGTGCTCGTGGTGTGTGTTGATAACCACCTGGGATGGCTCCAAGCTTGGAACTCCGCCAAGACCAGAAGAGACTGACAGCACTTAAGCAACGAAAGACAAGCCACGTGGAGACCCAGGCCCAAAGCATAGTCGACAACTTCCGTGACTTGCTTTGTCAGCTGGGAGTTGGCATCGAAATCTCAGAGTCATCGGGCAACGGGAGAAGGAAACTAACCTTTCTGAGTCTCCGGCGTCCGTCCCACGTCACAGGCACGCGAACGTGTCCGAATCCTGTTGAAGAGCAAGGAGTTGAGTGCATCACGTGGCTTTGGCTTCTGAGAACGGTTCAGGGATCACGATCAAGTCCAATGCTTGTATATGCTTCCCCCGCAATACAAACCCAGCACTCAACTGTGCTTTGACTGTCATCTGCAGTCCTTCGTCGTGAGCCCACTTGACTTGTCTCTTGACAACCGCGGGGTCGCGGTTGCCCTGGTTGAAATCGTACACGTTCCCGAGGTTGATCCTCGGTCGAACAAACCCCTCGCTTCGGCAGTGTGTGACTACTCTGCACATATTGGGGAAAAAATTTCCGATGTGCTTCGTCGTCGCGCTTTGAGCCAAGTCTCCCTCGGCCCATGTTCTGGACCGTGCCTGGAGCACTGCTGAAGTCAAGAGAAGAGGGGCCTTCTGTATGTAAAGCGGCGAGGCAGGTTTTCACACGCACATCGAAAATGGCAGTCTCTGCCAAGCTGCTACTGCAAGACCATGTTTGAGCGTGGCTTTGAACGGTGGCTTCCCGCTGGATTGACACCACCTGCAACAGACCAGAACAGGATCCACAGAACTGGATCACGGTCTGCAAACACGCTGCCTTCGAATGTCCGTGGGTCGAGTTGGTCCTGAAGAGCTAGCAGCTAGCACAAGCAATGCTTGGTATGGTAAATCCGGACTGGCACTCCAGTGCACCGAACTGGTGGGATGAACTATCGCTGCCGTCTTCAGATGCAATGCACACCACGGTGCCCATTTCCACAATATGGCACATCCCCAACACTACGCAGCATGTAGGGCGGCTACAAGGCGCAATACAAGCCCAGCAACTCTTGGAGCGCACGACCACCTTCACCAGCATCAGCCTCAGGAAAGAGCCCACTCGCCGTCGAATGATCGCCATCACACAAATCACAACGTCGCCGAGCAACCTTCTGAGCCGTCAACGTCCTCAGCTGAGAAACTGGCCAAAGCACGAACACATGCGAGAAGGCAGTCGCATCGGACACAGCTCTAGCTAGAAGCGTTGGCAGGCTGGCAGACACAGGCATGCCCTCAGCGCGGTTCTGTTGGTGCGCAAACGGCTCGGGTTCGCTCATCAGGAGATACAACTGTGATCAAAAGTAAGATGGTTTACACAGATTTGCCAGGTGTGGGCTGCCAGCTGGGGCGGCCTGCACAGCCTTCGACCTTACTCTCTGGAAGAGGAAGAGAGCATGTCATCGTTTCCGGTGACTAAGCCTTGTCGGACGCCGGACGTGCTGATGCTTCGAGCACAAACTACACTTGTGCAGCGCTGCTCGCAACACTGAATACACTGAGATTGTCGCGTTTCGGGGAACCGGTGCTCCCAAAAGAGTGTGAACATCATGAGACAAACTAGGGATTGCTCTTAGTTTGAGAAAACTCCAGCGAGCGCCTGGTGACATCTGACATTTAGAAGAGAGGCTGGATGAGTGACGCCGCTTCAAGAGCATCAGCGGCCTCATGAGAAGGACCGAGCTGGATGTCACACATTTGCTTTCGACTTCGAGGTTTTCTCTGGCATTGCCAATGCAAAAACCCTTCTGCAGAGGTCTCCGACCGATAATCGAGAATGTCCTTGCGTGAGGCCCTTGCGCAGCCCTCGCTGCTGCAATCAGCCAGCGCGACAGGCAGCGTGGCAGCAAGAATCCGCAAGGCACGTCGCCTCACAGTACTCCGGCGAAGAAAAGCCACCACGGCATCAACGGATTTGCAAACTTCGCGAAGCCAATCAAGTCAGGAATGCAGGGCACATGCACCAAGTGCTTGCAAGTCGCATTTTGCAGATCTACACCGCCGGGCAGCTTTTCGGTACAGTCGTCGATGGTAGAGCCCGTGAGCTGCGGAATCACTCCGCGCTGGTCGACTGAGAGGATCGAAGCCCGCAACACAAGGGAGAGGCATTGCACTAGACTGCTCACTTGCATCAATGTTCTTTTTGCAGGGACTTGTGCCGTTGATAAAGTTTAAAGATTAAAGGAAGCACATTGGCATCCTTGTATATCTTTCGTTCAACGTGCCGGGAAGCTTGTTTTGCCCAGCCAAGCAAGGCAAAATTCCGATCAACCGGCCTTCATGCACGCAGACCTCGGGGGCCTCATTGGTAGGGCGTCACAACCTGCTTGTGCAGGTTCAGCCTGGCTTCGCGTTGCAGCTGCTGAAGGTTGCGGCTGGAGCACTACTCGAGACGAGGCACTGCTGCTGGTTGTAGATACCGAACCATCCTTGGCCACGGGGAACAAGCCGCAAAGGACATCTGCCATTCTCCAAGTCAAGTGGCCAGGATCATCCCAGGCCTGGGCTGTGATGGCTTCCGCAACTCATCCGCTTCCCAACATTCAGCCTAAAACCCTGGCATTTTGCCGAAACCATCGCCGGAGCTCAGGGTTGGCTTTATGATATGCAGCCGTGGCTCAGCAACGGCCATGCCGCTCTCGCGGAAGTGGTTGGCCCTTGCAGCTGCCACACTTTACAGCAACCTATGCCAAAAACTAAAGGCTTGGGCAGAACGTAGCGACGTAGCATCAATGATGCAAAAAAGCCAGCGAACCAGGTTACATGTACTGAAAGCCATCTACTCAACTCCTGAGGTGCCGAGATCCCGAGCTTTCTGCCAAGAAGCGTAAACTTGTAGTACTCTCGGACGATTTCGTTGTCTCTATCCCACTGTCGATCCGTCTGGCGGCCAACGCCTTAGCTCTCCGAAGCTGTAGCTGACGAGAAACCCAGGGTAGGATTCTTTTTCGATAGATAACTCCCACTCCGACCACTCCGAGGCGAAGCATGGAAACATCACTCCCAGCGAGGCATCGGAGTCTATGACGCGGTCTCGGCTACGATGGGCAGACATCTCTTCCAGCACTGGCACCAGCACCCAAATGTGATAAGGCAGTGTACCATTGCAGGCAAAAGTAACTGTCCGTGAGATCCTTCACCGCTACCAGCTACCTGCAAAGATACCTTTCGAAACTGGTGCTACCACAAAACCTGGCTGCAAAATGCTGCAAAACATAACTTTCTCAGCACCCTGCCGTACTCGCCTACATAGACGGGGATGAACGTGTCCTTGGATGCACAAGCTTGGAGAGTCGCGGGAGCAGCTGGAAACTTCAAGCCTCCAGGATTACGTGTGAGCGTGTCTTACCTTGCTGAACATGCAGAAATGTGATGCAGGTTGCTGCTAGTAAGATGCAGCTGAGCGGAAAAAACTCCCTTCGAATTTGTACCTGGTACAATGCGGCGAGCCTGACCTCGAGAAACATCATTTTGCTTCCATGGGTCTCAGCCCTCTTGTCTGCCATACATTCGTCAACGTCACCATCACCAGCATCATCATCACCATCGCCATCACCATCGCCGTCATCAATATCACCATCGTCGTCGTCATTATCTTCTTCATCATGGTGGTCACTCATGATCATGGTGACCGTCGCTGTCTGCTAGGAGCTTCGACCCAAACAGACTAGCAGTTTGCAGCGACATGTCTGTACACGAGGTCCAGACAGTGATTGCGTGCAGAATGTCATGTGTTCCGAACAATCACTGCCTTCACGGTCTCCCCGCGACAAGTCTTTACAGTCGTTTTGAGCTCATGCAACATGTGACTCTTCGCGGGACAAGTTTCGAAGGCCCAATCGCGGATGTCTTTGAACTGGGAGCTCAAATCTCGCAGGGCCGGCGCGTGTTCAAGAGCCTACACCTGCTGACTCTCAGACCTGTCTCGTCACTAAGTAAGCTGCTGGCACTGCAGCCTGCAAGGTCCTCCTCTCGTGGACATGAACAGTCCCCGAAGCTGCCTTTTTTCATGGCGTTGGAGCTGGCGTAGTATGAAGTTTGGCCATTCTCTCCACAGAAATCATACGGATCCTCAAGTCTGCAATCCGCAGCTAGGGCGAGAAACAGCATGATTGCAGGTACGATGCATGTGAGAGTAGATAGTCATGTCATCTGCCGCTCCTTCCGAAGCTAGGTTTCAACCCCGAATCCTGCCGCTATGAAACCGCTGAGCAGATGACATGAGAGGCTTAGATTTTGGTGGGCTCCTCTCCCTTGAACTTTCATCACTCTCGTGCAAACAACTTCGTGCGATGGGCCGTCCAGTGACGGCACCGTTTTCACTCTCTAAAGTCAGTGCTGACAGTGTCGCCTGAAGGGGACCGGGTACCAAACGCAAATCAGGCGCATATGTGTGCACGGTGACGCCCACGCAGGCCTGGACCGTGGTAGCAATCCAGCATTCACCACGGAGACGAGTGCATTCACAAGCAGAGCTTGCCTTTGGCACGAACCGGGTCCGAACCGGATTCGTGCGTTCAAAGACACACATCACTAAATCATCAAATCGCAGCTGAGCAACATCATTGCCCTCTCCCGGCAGAGACCCCTTCGAGGGGTAAATTGATTTGGCAGTGCCTTCACGAACACAGCAGGCAGCTCGTGTTGGATTGGCAGGCTTCACATGCAAGGCCGAAAATCACGAAGTGGGACGGCCTATGCTGGACATAGCGTTGGGGTGCAGGAAGATCATGCGGTCCTGTCAAGGAAATGAAGGGAAAGTAAAGTTGCCCGGATGCTTCACTCCCAGGGATTCTGATGATTGATGGTCCACTCGACGAAGGAATAAGGGAGTAGCGGCACGAAGCTTTCAAGAAACACTCCTCTACCGCAGATGTCGTGGTCGTCTGATGAGAGCTTCCAGAAACAAGCTGTTAAAACCCTTGTTTTCAAAGCCCTGGCTGCAAGGCCTGGTTGCCGGCAACGCTGCGGATGGCGCTGTAACCCAAGCCGTTAATCTCCCGTGTGCGGTCAATCGCAATCCTGAGCGAGAAACCACACGCCCTCTGAAATCGACAAACAACAGCGTTCATGTGCCGATTCCGCCTGCATCTCAAGCCTGGAGCCAAAGGACATGAGGACACTGGCATCGTCAGAGGTCGCAACTCGGAGACACCGCTCGCTGAAACGCTTGGATGCGAACCTCCTCGCCCAACGTTGTGAAGTAGAGAGAGTGGGAAGTGGAAATTCGGAGGTGCAGCAGGCAGATGAACCCAGAAAGCTAGCTGCATACGAGGTTCTGGTCGAACGGATCTGGATTCCCGTTCCAGCTTCCGAAAGCCTTGTCCGGCTCCTCAGCTCTTGGCTCGGCGAGGCTCATTCGGTGCGCAGTGTTTTCGATGGTGCCGCCCCCACTTAAGCAGATATTGAATGACACAACTGCGCAAAGGCAAGTGTTTTCATCACGGCCTCCACTGCATAGATTATTCAGAACACTGCCCTGACTGTATTCGAAGAGCCGTCCTTACAGGCTCTGCCCTGCGGCCTAGATGCGTTGAGCACTTCGAAGCTCAGCCTGCCTCGGGGTTTGCGCCGGCAGCACAAAGCATGCCAAAGAAAAGGCACTGCAAGATGAGATGTTCGCATCTGCCTTGCCTATCTAGCAGGCCGTACTTGCGGGGCTTGGGAGTAGCTGAATACTGTCTGGGGTTGGCGAAGACTGAACCGCCCGAAAGCGATTCTTGCGGTCGCAGTCACTGGACTTGTACGCGAAGTGACCTGCGATGCCAGTCCTTGCCAATGCCAACTGACAGAAGGCCGATGAATGCATGTCCCCATCAGCAACTGCATCTTGCAACATCCAATGTGTTGTCAGAGGACTTCCGAAATTGCTGACGAGACAAGCACAACTGCGAGTCTATCTGTGAAGCTGCTGATCATGGGTATCTTTCATTGACGTGAACGCCAAGGTCAGGCCAGCAGCAGCCTTGTTTTACTGGTAGCCTTCTTGAACAGGCCAGGCGGGCCGCGATGGAGCTCAGCGTTCAAAAGGCTTCCAAAGCTTTTGCCGAGGCACCAGAGGTTCCAAAACTGATCCTTGTAGTGCCTCGGTCCGGCAAACCTTTGCCGCTAACCCATCCTGAATCCAAGTTGGACCGGAAATCTTGCTCCCTGGGGCACAAACTCCGTGCACAGCCCTAGCCGCGACACTGATAAAAGCAGGTGTTCCCTGTGACAGAAGCTAGCGGAGGACCTTCTTTACATCACCGGGCCGAAAGTTTCGACCCACTTGTGTATCATCGTACATACAGGCTCTTGCGGAGTAGAGAGTACCTGAAAGTGTCGTTTGCCCTACGCAGGCTAGCGGAGTAATTTCTACGCCGTTTGAATAATGTAATACTTTCTAGTTCCGGCGGAGGCCCCAAGGCTCACTTGTGTTAGGAGTCTATGGGGAGGAGGGTGGCGGCCTATGTGTTGTAGCATGCTGAAGCTAGCGGGTCGAACTATCGGCCCGGCGCAGTATCGACATCAAGCAGTCATCACCTGTTTGATGAGCCCAGCTGCTGGGATCCGTCGTAGCCATCCTTCAGCCAGTGCTCGTGGTGTGTGTTGATAACCACCTGGGATGGCTCCAAGCTTGGAACTCCGCCAAGACCAGAAGAGGCTGACAGCACTTAAGCAACTAAAGACAAGCCACGTGGAGGCCCAGGCCCAAAGCATAGTCGACAACTTCCGTGACTTGCTTTGTCAGCTCAGAGTCGGCATCGAAATCTCAGAGTCAGGGGGCACTCGAAGGGCTCGGGAAACTGGAGAGAGGGCAGAGGCTTCTTGGAGCTGGAGTTGATGCTGAAGGAAAGGTACAGGCTCTCTTCTCGTCAACAGTCATCACTCTCCGGACTAACCCCTGGGTCCCCGGCATCCGTCCCAGGTCACAGGCAAACGAATGTGTCGAAATCCTGTCGAACAGCTACTCGTAGGCGTAGGACATGACTACATCGGATGGCTTCGGAGAACAGCAACCAAAACCATTCCCAAGCAAAAGCTTATCCTCAACACACATCCTGAACTTAACTGCGTGTTGCTCGCAGTCCTTCGTCGTAAGCCCATTTGACCTGTTGTTTGACGACCGCGGGGTCGCGGTTGCCCTGGTCGTAATCGTACACGTTTCCGATATTGATCCTCCACACAGCAGATCCATCGCTACAGCAAAGTGTGGTTAAAGTTGTGCTTTGAGCCAAGTCTCCCTCGGCTCATGTTCTGGACCGTGCCTGGAGCAGGATCGAAGTCAAGAGAAGCGGACTCCCCGTCTGGTATTTAGCATGCGTGTCCTTCCTTGTGCGGTCTGTCAGAGACGTGGCATCATTAACCCCCACTTCCATACCAAGCTGCTACTGCAAGACCACGTTTGGGCGATGCTTTCAATGGTGGCCTCCGTCTGGATTGACAGCACCTGCAACAAGCCACTGCAGAATCAGAAGGAACGGGATCACGATCTGCCCGCGCCTTCGACTGTCGGTGGGTCGAGTCGGTCCTGACGCGCAGACACCGGCAATGCTTAAGATGCTCACTCGGGCAAGCATGCAGGGCAGCTCCGTTTCGGAACATGGCTCAGCCGAGCAGCTCTTGGAGTGCACGACCACCTTCATCTGCATCCGCCTTCATCGTGGTCAACTCCACACAAGCTCGCACCAATGTGGCCATCACACAAATCTCAACGTCACCGAGCAACCTTCTGAGCCGTCAACGTCCTTAGCTGAGGAATTGGCAGAGCACAGGAGATTGATGTCGGCTCATGTCGGCCCGACGTGCTGATGTCTCGTCGTGGGTTCCCAACATGAACAAACGCAATGCTTCAAAAAAATGTCGCATGGAACGACAGCCTTCCATGAAATTTGGAGGATCGCCTGTGATGGGTCGCCTGCCCAACGATGCTCCTGCTGACATTAAGAAGAGACTCTGGATAAGTGAAGCCACATCCAGAGCATCAGCGGCCTGATGCAGAGAACTACAAGAGTTCAGATAAGCTGAAAGCTGTCACATCCGATTGGGGCTTCGGGGGATGCTCATTCACAGACGGGAATGAAAGCCATTGTCGAAGATCAAAAGTGTCCTTGCTTGAGGCCCCTGCACAACCCTCGCCGCTGCAATCAGCCAGCGCAACCGGCAATGTGGCAGCAAAGATCCGCCAGGCACGTCGCCTGACTGGAGATCTTAAGGATTCAGTGCACTGGCTTTCATGAGTAATCGGGACCGGTCCAGGTGTCTCTTAGCTTAGCGAAGCACGCTCAACTCAGGAATGAGCGAGAGACCAACCTGAAGTGTAACGATCCAGATGACTGAGAAGCTGCACATGCACTGAGTGCTTGCGAGTCACATGGTGCAGACCCACGCAGCCGGGCAGCTTTTGTGTAAGGTCGAGCCCGTGAGCTATGGCAGGATCGCTCCAGAGTGGCACACTGCAGAGAGAGAGAGAGGGGCATTCACGTGTTCGCCTGCGTGGGGTGAAAGCGCTGTACTTGCCCCAGAGGCCCCAGAAGCTGGCGCTCGCGCGGAGCTCCGGCAGCAGTGGGTTCTTCGGTCTGAGCGCCTTGGCGGCAGGGAAACTGGAAGCACTGGAGCCACCGACTTGGGGGGCGGATCCTGTCTTTGAAGCCGGCGATTGTTCCGGGATTAATCAGATCCAGTTGCTGGCTCCGACACGGAACCCTCTTCAGCTCCGACGGAATGTGAAGTCTTCAACATCCCACTGGCATGCGCACAGCGGAGCTACTAAGCGCCTCTCTGGCAGAGACGACACTTTAGCTTGTCTAGCTCCTGGCCCTCGCTTCTCCTCAGCCCAGCACGAAGGCCTTCAGATGAAGCAGGCAGCGACTTGCTCTCGCTCTGGCTTCCATGGAAATTACGAGCAAGGCATCAAGGAAAAAGAATCCCGCAGTCAAGCTGATTTTGGAAGTTGTGGGCCATTACCAGCACGTATCTGGCTTGAGGCACAAGCTCCAAGGTATATTCAGCCCTGTCGTTACATGCAGAAGACGTCCAAAGCGATTGTTGCCTCCGTACAAGTGCATACAGTTCTCTCTTCTTGGCCGGATTATAGAGGCTGCAACTCCACCGTCTCGAGACCCCGACCCATGGTGCACGGAGCAGGACGGAATGTGCCTGACATGAAACAAGTCAAGCTTCCAGCCGCCGGTGCGGTTTGCAGGCAGGCCTGGGGCTCCACCAGCAAGAAGCGTCTCTTTTTTGGTACAGTTGCGACAGTGTTTGTTACAGGGCCTAACAACGAATGGCCAAAACTTGAAGAAAAACCCTTGCTCGAATCATCTCTGCCTCATTGAAAGCTTGGGAGATGACTTGCAGCAACCTGGCCCAGCCACTAAGTCTTTCTAGAATGAGTCATCTCCCAAAGAGCTGCTGGCAGATGCGGGCAAGACACGGCACATGGGGCTGGAGTCCTGTGCACTCCTGCGGCCTGATGAAGTGGCATGACCAGAACATCCCGGATGCGGTGGAACAGTGCTTCGGCATCCTATGCAACATCAAGCAGCACAAACCCCGCTGAACGGAGGGAAGGTTTCGCAGATCTGAGGCTGAGATCTAAGCCTCGAAGCCGATCTGCGAAACCTCTTGGGAGTGTATGGAGATCTGAATTCGTTCAAAGACCATGCTGAGGTGGCGCGTCACCGCAACTGGCCGACGTGCTGCGCTGTGGTGCCGTATACATCGTCCAGGCGCCCAGGCCCCACGTTTTCAGGCTGGTAAAGGACCATTAGCCTGGCCACCTTCCTAAATCTTACAACGCGTTTAAAGGATTTGAAAGGTTGCTTTAACGGGTCAACGCTCTTCGTGTGCCCATGGGCCTCTAGCAGCCAGTGCAAACATACCTTCATTTCTGATCATGTTAAGACATTGACTGCTGGCTTCGTGCACCGCTGCTGGAAAGGATTCTGCACTCATCTACCACACGCGCATCCTTACAGCTAGAAACTCTGACTGAACGCGTGATTAATCCGGCTTGTTGTCAACCCAGAACGCGGGGCATGGACTCAAAATCTGTGGAGGCACGCCCAGTCAGGTCAGTGTCACTTCGAGGTTGTGCATTTTTGCGCTGTTGTCCACACTACTTCTTCGAATAACTGATGCTAGACTGCCGCGCACCTCCGGCACCGCAAGCAACAGCAAGAAAGAAGCGCTTGCTCAAAGCAAGCCATGCCCATGGAAGTCCTATGGGCCCATGCTCAGGCAACTTCTATACATTATACAGCCACGAGAGCAAGCATTCAGGCCACTATCAAGCCCTGGGCTCTTGCACACAAAAGTCCAAGCCACTCACTTGTGTATTTGCATGTGTGTGTGTGTGTGTGTGTCTAACGGCATGCTCCGACGTGGCTATTCAAAAAGTTGTGCTTGGAGAGTCGCCCGGGAATCGTGCAGAGCTGGCCTCCTCCCTCATCCGACTACAAGTATCACCGGAGGAGGCGCAACTCTGCGGAACCCTGCAAGGGCTTCCTCTCCGCGTGCACCAGCGGATCTCCCTCAACGAACTGGCGCAGACAACTCTCGGTGGCATCAGAGAAGCGGAGGGACGGGATCCACTAGGCAAAGATGCAATGATATGCAACGCATGGAGGCCATGCACGCTATGCCGTGCACGACTGCAGATTCTGCCCCAGCCATTCCGCAATGGTCCTGTACCGGCGAAAGGCCAAAGACCAAGTTGGATCAGAACCCACGCACGAAGTACCAATCATTGTCAGCGTATTTAGCAAGGAGAAGCAGAAGTGCTGTGAGAAGGCTGGTGCCAGCATCTGACGAAGATCCCTGATCCAACTTGCGCATTCAGGCATTGTCCCCGTATGGCATGCGTACAGAATTCACAATCATGCAAGCACCCGACCACAGATGGGCACTGTCAAGTCGACATGCTTCATGGGGCTGGGATCAAGGCACGGGAGACAAGTCGACGCTGGATCTGTTCCTACTTTGGGTATGTCACCCCGCGAAAGACCCGGAGCACCCGATAATAAACCCATGCATGCACCAACTGGCATGTCAGAGGACCACCCTGCTCAGCTCATGACGGAGCTTAGCCTCAGCAGCTTGAGAGGTTCGGATGGGGGTCATGTTGATCGCAGACACGTTTCATTAGCTTTTTTCTGGCCTGATGTGCCATACTCTGAGAATTGAAAAGGCAATGACTCATGACTCATGACCCCTGCTTGCCCAGATACGACATCCGCCATCTGCAGGCGGCACGACTCACGCCTTCCGGCGATGCTGCCGCTGTCCAAGCAAGGCAGGCAGGGAGCCTCACAGGGAAGCAACCACCCGCTCTACGCCAACCACTGCGCAACCACGACCAGCCATCGGTCGAAACAGCATCACGAACCCCACTGCCACCGCTACTAGCACCACAAGTTCCAGCACGAGCACAACTACAAACACTAAACGACTCACCAATCACCAAGGCGTGTTGATAGCATCAGAAGCAGCTTGCAGCAGCCAAAACCAAGAACCTCCACAACGGCAGCTCGGACTTCCACAAAGAACGACACAGCTTTGTCTGCACTGCCATCTGGTACCACTAGATTCAACCACGCTAGAGGCGTGTGAGCTCTGGCTTTGTCGGCTATAGCCGTTCACTCGGGCCCCAAGCCCAGGCATTAAGGGTAAAAATCTAAGGCTTCAGGATGCTTTAGAGTGGGGGCAAGGGCCGTTCTGGACGCTTGGACGACATTTTCTCAGGCATGGATGTAACAGCGCTCAGCCACAGATGCGCTGGCAACCTGGACAGTACCCAAAACGGCCGTCTGGGCTGCGGTATGCTGAAGCCTTGGAGCCAGCCTGTTAAGTACTTGCGATAAGACTCCAGACTGTTACAGGCTTCAACAGGTAACCATCGCCTCAGGTCGTTGTGGGTTAAGCCTCACTGCTTTGTTCAACCATTCATGCGGTATGAAGGACAAACGCCCCTGGTCCCAGTACAACTGCAATCGATATTTCTCTTCCCTTCAGGCTCCCTCTCTCGTTGTCGTTCTGGTCCGTCGGCTTGGCATGCCGAGCCTTTTTGGCAGCCAGGATGTACAGGTCGGGGCACTCGAGTCCTTTCTTTCCTGCCAGCACCAAGGATGACCACATCGCTTCAAAAACTAACAATGTGAGAGCTTGGTTTTGTCAGTTAACACTGCCAGTTCCACGCAACACTCTCCACCAGCACCCTTCCTGCCAGCAGACCACAGAAGTCTAAAGTAGTCCATCGCCGAGGTGCGGCAGAAACGACGGAAGTGATGCGAGAGGTCATTGAGAAGAGGCTGGACAAGACGAAGGGCTGCCTCGTGCATCTCGCTCCTGATAGCTATTGGAAGGCACCGCCCTGTTTGCTTCAGCTTCAACTCGGAAGGCTCTATGAGTTGCGTCACACAGTCTGGGTCACCGGGGCCACAATATGAGGAAACGACCGAATTAGATTGCAAACGCCCATGAAAATCACAAGAGAAATGGCTTGCACATTGGACCCTGCAGTTCAATGCAGCACGCACAACCCGTCCCCGTTTCTCTGCGCAGGCATTCGGCTGGGCTAGACTTGATGCCAAGCTGCGTGCGGCAGGCCACGGCAAGCTGGAGTGTCTCGTCTCTCTCGATGGTTTGCCCGTCAGCAGTATGGACTTCCTTGTAGCCGCTGCCTGCCAGTCATTCGTTGCTAACATGGGGAACAACAACCCAGCTGCTTTCTTTTGCTTCACCTTATTCGCGCACCTCGGCCACACACACGGGCGGCAGCCCCGATGTTCTGGATAGGCAACATGTTGCAGCCGCGCTTGCCAATCAATCGCGGAACCAGCTCAAACTCAGCATGCTTCTCCTGATGCATCCGAACTCACTCATCATGCATCAGTGTCATGCGTTCAAACCATGCCATGGCACGAGTCTATGACCATGAGATATGAGGATCATGCCAGCTACTCAGAGGCTGTGTACACTCCGAATGACCGTGACTCAGCTGAGCATCGTGATCGTAGCCTGTGAAGACCACCGTGAAAGTGAAGTCCAAAGCCTTCTTCGTGCTCTTCATGGAGCTCCGTCTTGCACCACGCTTCGGCTGCTTCGAGACCCGACGCGGCGAGCTCAGACTCGGAGCTGTGTCGAGCACTGGCCCGTTCATCTTCTCCGGCTCAGAGAGCTCACGTTGCTTGGGGCTCACGACAGGTTGCCAAGCCGGTGCTGGTGCTGGTACCCTCAAGGTCGGAGCTGGCAGGGGCAAAGGCGGCAGTGGTGCCACGAGCGGCAACAGAGGGTCGGTCAAGAGGCTCAGGGCAACACGGAACTTGGATGCCAGAAGTTCTGGCCGGGCGCTCTCTGAGAAGACAAAGCTTCCACGATTTCCAAGGTGCTCGTTGCTGCTCTCAGACACCCACCAGGGCGCATATGAGATGACGTTGCTTTTCACTGGCAGGTGTGGAGAAAGGACGCCCTGATCGAACGGAAGGTGAGTCGGCAATCCTCGGCTGCTGATGCAGTACTGTCAGCAGCATGTTTCAAGCTGGTTTCCAGTCTGACGCCCGATCAGGAAAGATATTCCAACATCTCCCGTGACTTTGTGTAATCAAGTCTTTCATGCTAACCCCTAATCCCTAAACCCCTCAGGGGAGGAGTCAATCATGAAACAACAGCAGCGTACCGAAGCTTCATGATCCTTCACAAGACATCAGAAGTGTCCATGTGCAAACATGCTGTTTAAGTCGTTGCACATCGATGCTCGTACCTAATCGCCGGTGACATGGATGCAGCTGACAGCTTTGTCATGATGCAGCTTTGGCGCCCACGTCGGCACAAATCTCGTCCCGAAATGCCATGGCTTCAAGGATTCGCTGACCACCCACACGTCACTGACAGCTGCGGGAACGAACGCACAAGAGACAGCGACGAATAGCTTGAACTGGAGGATGCTCCGGAAGGCAAGATTACGGAAGGCGGGCCCCCAGTCTGCGCCTTTCCGTACTGCGTGCGCACGGTGCCCAACATCTCCAACCTGGCACTGGGCTTTTCTTGGAGAGTTGCCTTCAGCCTAGGAGTACAGGCACCACGGCCTTCAGGAAGCTGACTTGTGCCGCTTGCCATGTGCTGTTCGCGAGTTCATTCGGCCGCCATGTCTGCCGTTACTGTGCAGCTTCATGCCAAGCATTCTCATCATTCTCACAGTCTCAGCGATCCTCCGGGCAATCTTCTAGCAGCAATCTCCCGAAGCACATCTCTCAGGTCTGGGTCGCCGACGATATCGTAACCTCCTCGCCCGTGCGGACCTGCGTCACACAGGGGACGCGATCCACGCTTCCAGCCACAGACCACGTTGCTGCTGCCCTCTATGTCTCTCTGTAGCATGTGCTCTGTCCGACAGTGCTCTCATGGCTCGATGTTTGGGGCTCCAGCAGCTGCTTCGAGTTCGGCGTCCCCAACGGCGTTGGTAGAGTCCCAATCTGAGGAAGTTCACAATCGCTGGTGCGCAGCATGATCAAAAAAGCACTTTACACACTGGGGAAACCTTCCAAAATCTATCCTTCCTAGGACGCTGCTCGATTTGTCGGATCCTCCCATCTGGTCCCAACCCGACGCAGAAACTGCAAAGCGATGTCTTGACTTCTCTCGTCTCCGCTATCGACGGCACTTGGCATTTGATCATGCACGATCTGGCACATGGCTTTCACAACAGAGACCAAGCACTGCATGGGTCCAGAGCATTGCTCATCGCTGCTATCACCTTTGAACCTGTTTTCATCCCAAACTGTCGTTGTCAAAGTCTGGATTGGTACACTGCGTGGTTGTGCCCGCTTGGGGCGCAGGCCTTCCTGTGACATCCAGAAAACACCAACAAATCAACGCGCTTACAGACAGTCTGTGTGGTTTTTCGACTTTGGCACTGTCCAGAACGTTCTGTCTGCGCCTCTCAGCATACTACATGGCTCCCAACTTGCCGACTTTCTGTGCGGTTTGACCTGGTGACCTAGTGGTCTGCTTCCGAATGTTTTGACACCTGCACCAGCACTAGTCATTCTCTACAACGGCACCGACAACAAAAACAGAGCGTGTCCAGAACCGCTGTTGGACTCAGCCGAACCCAGAAAGCGCCGAAATCACTCAGAGCTTCACCATAAGGCACCACTTGGCGTGTTTCCTCGCTGTTGCTGGAAGCAACATATCTGGCTTGATCAGAATCTAGCAACAGAACAAGGCAGCAGGCTTCCCGGTCCCCCATGCGATAAACGTAAAGTCATTCTACCGTGTATATCAACGTGCGATGTTCGATCGAACTGGGTCACTGAAGGCTCAGACAGAAACAAGCGAACGGCAGAAGGGAATCGGAGACAACAACAAGCTGGAATTTGGAAGCCGAGCCCGTCCTTAAAAGTCAGGTCCAGCTCGTCATGCAGACCTTGCCCGCCCAGATCCGGCGGTTTCCCGAAGGGGGAGGGTTGAGCTGCCAGAGATTCTCGGAACGAGCCTGTAAGCCCCCTAACCGCGTATGCAACGGAGAATGATTCGAGCGTCTGAGATCCAGGCGCTCTCCAAGAGCTCCCAGGCCTGACCAGTCTGATGGAGTCATTGCTTTTGGTGTTTTTCCCAAGCCATAACGACGGCTCCATGCAGCGAAGGTCTGAACATCTTCACAAAGCATGCGCAAAGCTCTCGACTTCGGACAGGTTGGACCTGAAAGCACCTTGCTGTGAAGGGCGAAGTCCGAACCTCGCGGTGCCGAGTTTGAGGAATCTGATCTTCAGAGCTGCAGAGCTCGTAGGACTCGCAAAGCCCAAATCAATGTTTCTTTGCAGCACTGTGTTGCGGCAAAATGTTAACGTCCTTGATGCACCTTGCGACCACAAACGCGGCCGAAGTTCGAACAGAAGACCCAAAAAATATTCACTGCCAAGCACTCTTCCGGACCAGCATGGGTGCGGCGCCTTGCTCGCTGGCCTGCAGCAGATGCCGGCCCTCGTTCAGCTCCTGGTCCTTCGCCTTCGTATCCTCCGGTGGGGACTTTCGCTGTTTTGCTCGGTCTCAGCCCGAAAAGCCCCCACGCAAGTCCTCCGCGCCGTAGGTGCGCCAATTGCGCATCAAGTCAGCGACTGTCCTCCAGCTGCCGCAGATTGTCTCAAAACCAGAATCATGCTGCTGCTCTTTCTCACCCCGCGTCCTGACAGTGTTGCTTTGCCGGCGATTATTCTGCGATCGCTGGCGCCCAGCACGCAGAGCATCTGGCATGACTTGAAAGGCTTGGGCGTCGTTTTGCGGTGCTTGCTGGGCTACCGTCGAAGAATAGTCGAGCTACCCCAAGGAGACGTCTGACTGACTAGTCCAGCTTCTACCTTCTGTGTAGGTCAGGAGTTGCGAGCTTTTGTTTTGGAGTCGCGCGCGCTAGACACTTCTGGAATCATCTTGTTCGTCGCCATTTCGGACGTCCTGCCAGCAAGAGACGATTTACTCACTGATCCGAGTTCGAAACGAGAGTACAGCAAAAAAGTCAGGACAACAGAAGGACTTCCGCATCCTCGTCCAAGTCTGCACGCTGCACCAGCTCCACACGGCTCAGATCGGAGTATCTGTCAAGATGTCAGATGTATGGATTCATTCTGGCTGGAGCAACGTTCATGTTCAAGAGAGAACAACCGAGACCGCAGCAAAAGGTTTGGCGTTTTGAGACATCTGGGGAAATGAGTCACACGTGCTCGAAGGCATCGTGAAGCAGCCACATGATTGCACTCCTGACTCATCACAGGTGTCCCCAAGTTTTCTGGGGTCCCTTCATCCCACACAGAGTTAACGCGAGCTGGAGCCAAGGCCTTTTTCTGGCATGCTGCATGGTTGGCATAAACTGATCCCTTCGGGGGAGCAGACATGTCTTCACAGCATGCTCTTTCCCGGAAGACCTTCGCACTAACAGTCACAGAAGAAAGAAACCGGGCCTCTAGAAGATTGGGTTTCACCGTATCTAATGTCAATGCTTCGATCTGCGGGTATGCAAGAAAAACTTGTTTCAGCTGCGGCACTCCCCACCGCAGAGCTCCATCACCTGTGCACAAGTGCAACGACAACATCTGAATGCCTGAGCAGAGCTCTGTCATCTTTCAGGGTCACAGCTTCTCATGAGCCCCTCCGAGAACCAATCGAAGCGCTGGTCGCAAACTTTGCCATCATCTCGCTGGAGCGTTATGGTAATAATGTATGTTTTGGCATGCCTCCCCGATCGCTTCCAAGAGCCGCGTTGCGGACTCCCTGCGTGAAGTTTGACGGTTCCTGTTTCCATACATTTCGTCACGAGGCTGCTGAAGCTGGAATCTGCGCGGCTTCTTGACGTGGGCAACGAGTGGATGACAGGCCGCTTAGTGCCTGCTTAATTTGGAAAAGCCCGCATCCAAGAAACTTGGAGTGCAACTTCAACTACACCTTTCGTAGGCAGATCCAGGCTCTCCTCGGGTCGCTATGCATCGTGGGATGCAATCCACAACTGTCCTCTCAGCCGGAAACTCTAAGTCTATGCCATTCGAAAACTTCGAGACAGTGCCCCCACAGCCTCGTGCCAGAGCGGCTTCGGCAGGCCCAGGCATTGCCTTCGTTGTGCACGAACGCAAGAGGACATCAGCCAACACCACAAGGATTGCAGATGTTTGCAAGCTTGGAAGACAGACTCAGGCTGTTCAACATGTCGCTGTAATTGAGCTCAGGCTTGGAGCTTTGAGGAATGCAGAGCTGACTGACAGACAGACAGACAGACAAAAGAAAACCAGAAGCTCCTGAGACATGGCGTGCCCACATCTGGATGGCCTTAGACTCTCAGCCATGTGGGCACAAAAGGACGCTTATGCGGCCAGCCACTTCAACGTCAACGGCCGTGCAGAAGCCATGGAGATCCATGCGAAGTCATCCGTGCGCAGGTCCCTCGGTTTCCATGTTTAGGTTTAAGGATCGCAGGCCTCACGCGCTTAACACACAAAAGCAGTTTGGCCGGCTTTCAGCACGTGGCTCATATTCTGAAAACAATCCGGTTCTGGAAAAGCACGCGGGATTGCAAGCCATGCGGCAAGTGTCGGCCAACGAACCACCGGAAATCTAAAGGAGAGTACCTGGTGACAGGGCTCTGCAAAGGCTCTAAGAGGGTCGAGAGTGGGACGAACGAAGAGTACATGTGTGGCCGTACAACCTGCTCCGCGTCTCAGCATCAGACATGTCCGAATCACCCTGCATCGTTCTTGACATTGATTTCGAGCCCACGGGCGCAAGATCAGGCAGGGAGAGGTTGCTGAATAGGGAGTTTTCCGAATAGTGCGGCAACCAGAAGCATGATAGCACGAGATGACATTGACAAGGACAAGAATGAACGTGGGGCCACCTTCCAGCAAGTATCCCGTCGATAGCAGCCTCGACACCTACCAGGAAGCAGACTGCTAGCGCAGGCGTTTTGTAAACTACAGCTTTACCAGTAGCTTTCGTCATCGCCTAAAGAAGCGTCAAGAGCCATGGAGGATTCAGGGATGGGTCAACGGAGGGCACATCGTCGACGCAGGAACTAGCTCGGGGCATTAGAAGATACTGCACCCAGAAATGCTCCTCGAAGAAACCCCGACGCCGCCTCCTTGGTAGATGCGAGTTCCCGGTGCCAGCTCCGATGACCCTTCGAGCTCAAAGCCGTGGATCAGAAGTCCTCCATGAGGGCCCACAGCACGGCTAGTGGAAAGCTTCATCCAACAACCTTGAGCCGGGGCGCCTCAGGCAGAACCTGCTTAAAACCAAATCCCAATCCTGGTCCGCTCTGCATCTCCGGACCGCCAACGTAAACTGCAGCATTGTCGCCGAAAGCCTGGGCTGGGCAAAGGATTCTCCAAAGATTCCAAAAGTCCGCCGAGGCCACAGGCCCAGGCGTTTTTAATTCAGGCTCCCTCCACCTAATCTTTCTTTCTGCAGTCCGAAAGTTTGGAGACACCCGCTTCTTGCATTCGTTTGCCACCCCCTTGCCCGGCGTCCCTTCATTTTACCTGATTTGTAGGCCTCCCTCCCCCTCCCCCCCTCCAGCCCCCCCTCCTCCCCCCTCCCCTGCCTCCTCCCCCCCCCTCCCCCCCTCTCTAAAAGGAGAAGCAGGACTGGACACGCAAAGGTTGGGGTTGAGAGGCCCCCCTAGCATGGTGTATACGACATCCACTGCCCCCTCGCCCTGCCGCTACAGAGCCGAGGCGGGCGGCGTAGCGTTAAAATTACTTCTAAGCAACGGAACAACTCCAGAAAAAAACACAAGTTCTAGATTCTGGACAATCCGTGTGAACATTCTGAGGGCAATCCAAACATGCCCAACACCAGATCTGTGCATGCTGTCGAGCTCTCAGCACCTCCCACCCCCAAAGCACGTGTCCAGCTTCCGCAGGCAGAAACACACCGTGATTATCTCTTACGCGCGACATTTTGCGTTGAAGGCTACATTGTCCAAACGAGGCTGCGAAGCCGCCTGGCCCTCGTGGACGGAATGGTTACAATTCTGGTTTTGGAGGTTACGTCTCTGCTTTCAGGCAATCATGGCTCAGCGACTTCGGACAGCAGATGCAAGGCGCACGGCCCATGTTAAATCTTCCAAGCCTGCATGGTGCTCAGTCCTTGTAGCATCGGCCGACACGTGAGCTGCACAAAAAGACGGCATCCTACCAACATCCGACCTGTTCCCTGAGGTCCCAACTTCCAGAAAGCGGTACTGAAGCCTCTGCTCCTGCAAGACGATGTCAGACCCACTCATACTTTCGGGCAGTTGAGATTACTGACACCGACACGCATGGACGACGACGACCACAACACGCATGATGATCCTGAGTCTTCATAGAAGTTCGTTCGATGAGCTCCAACGGTAAAATTATTGCGTTGACCGAGAAGCAGCACATGCCGATTGTAAGAAAGGGTGAGGACTTGTTGCGCCCCAAGCAGCGTTCATCAATCATCGTCGTCATCGCCATCATTGTGACCACAATCATATTTCGTCGTTGTGATTGCTTTAGCACGTTCCGAACTGCTGTCACCATGTGCTGCCATCATTGCTGCTATTGTAGTGCCCATGCTGCTGAGAAGCATGATAAGAAGAGCATGATGAACTTCAGGGGAAAATTGGGATCGTGCTGTGCGTGTTGCTGATATCAGCCCACTCGACTCTGCTTTCGGTCCTCTTCGCCTTCAGCAGGCCGCGACCCGAAGAGGAGGAACTGCGCTAATTCGTTGTTCACTGACCTCGAGCCAGGTCAAGTCTCAGGGCCCAAGAACATGTCCGTGGAAGGCGCAGCGACTGGTTGAAAAGCGAGCTCAGCCAGAGCTCGCTATCAAACATCGGAAAAGCACGAGCACACAACGCATCTGACTGCTGCGAGCTTGCAGAAGGCTTCTGTACTTGCAAGGCTGGGCCCCTGGAGATGGGCTCAGCGACTTTTTTGGCCAAAAATAGTTTAGCATAGCGCTTGAAAGCTGCACCTGGCGAATGGGCGATTTATGGCGACGGCCTGACCGGGCATCGGAATGCAATAGCTGACTTGCAACATCTCGCCTTTACAGGGTCCGGCAATGTCGATGCAAGTCGGCAAAAAGGTGCATTGGAGAACAGCCGCGAATTGGCAAAAAAACTGCTGGAAAAATGCACTCCAGCACCTCGCCTCTGCAGCGCAACTGGTGGAAGCGGCGCGGAGAACGAGGCACACCGACTGCCATGTGCGCTCCTGCCACTGAACTGAAGGGCACCGCATGGTGTTAACTTCATGTCAGCAGTGTCGCCGATGCTCAGGTCGAAGTCATGCTGAGAGATTGTACATACAATCTAGTCATCCCTTGTCTCACCCGAAGTCAACCAGAGGCGAAGATCAAAAAGTGCGCGCATGTACGGACAGCATGTCATCCGAAATGTCAACAAAACCGCGTCCATGCTTCCGTACAGCATCACCAGCTCACGGCCCTTGGTTGGAAGGGCATAAAGAGCCGCAAGTAGAGCAACAGGCTACCCGTATTCTGCCACCTTGCCATAGGCAGTAGGGCCAGCCGGATTTGTCTCCTGCCTTTTGTTTACCAAGCCACTGCCTCATCCAGAGAACGCATGTCAATTCCTCATTTCTCACAAATCAGTGCCGAGACGACCATGTACAGCCAAACGCCTGCGACCAGTGATATCCAAGCTGCCACGCTGCTTTGCGCTGGCAGCTATTTCCATGAGAGCCTGTAGCACGGCTTCATCCAATCAAACAATAAAGGAAGGTTGCGATCTCTCTTGAACGGCGCCAATGGTCATTCGTGCAATCTTCGCTCCGGAAGATTCGAAATGAAAGTTGGCTCTGGCTGCCAGGCTTGGTCCTCGAGAGGTTTTGCTCACTGCCAGTATTTCTTCCAAGCAGCAGTTTCTGTCAGCTTGTCAGCTACCTTGTAACCTCAGCAGGATCTCTGCGGACAAGCTCTTCCCGTCGTTCCTCTCTGGCTCACGTTCGTCTCTCGCGGCCTTTGGCTTTGCACCAGGACCTATCCTGAAGTGTCGTGGCGAACGGAAGCCACGCACTGATACGGCATCTCTGCAGCAAAGGTGCAGAACATCGTGTTTTGCGACCAGGTCTCAAAGAGCTCCTGGTGAGGATGGTAACGCTGCTGCTCATGGATGACTTTACGTGATGGATGACCAGCGAAGGACTTTCCGATGCCCACCGCAACTTGCCAGTCCTCAGGTTGCCGACCGGAGACCTTGCAGAATCTCGCAGACGTTATCTAGGCTGCGAAATTCAGACAGCATGGAGGAGCATGTAATCAGAGTCGAGATCACAACAAAAGCCTCTCTGTCCTGATGCTCTAACGAGCCTACACTTGCCTAGCCTGGGACATGCCCTTGTCTATGCCCTGCCTCCGGCAGCTCCTGAAGGATTCGCTCTCGGAGCCGTCGAGCCCAGACGAAATCGCTGCTGTTCTCAGGAGCAAAGTTCGGGCTGCATGCGATCGCCGAGTTTACTGTGCTGACCTGCTTAAATTTGAAAAATCCTTTATGGAAATGTAAGGACTTGGAAATTGCTGCCTGGCTGCCTGGCGCATCAACCAGGTGATCTGGGCAGGAAGTGGGCTGCGGCAGAGCAGTCCGCCTACCTGACAACCAGCTGCAACGCTGCTTATGTTCAGTCCACCGATGCCCTTCGGTAGGTTGTCCATCTACAAAACCGTTGGGGGATCAAGCTGACGATGATCCTGCACATTCGAGCATGCGCAACTACATCACAACGGGCGTAATGGCCTCCACCGGAGCAACGTGCGCCCAGGCACCATTCATGTACTCCTTGGATTGGGCTATCGCACTTCTGAAAAATGGGGTGGAAGCTACGATATGTTGAACAGGGGTGTGTTTGGGCCAACCAGCTGATGCATCCGCCAGGTCAACACTCAAGGCAGCTCTGACGTTGAAGTGCGGATCTGCCAAGCAGCATTCCAAAGCTCCTGCAGGAGATTCGTGTCCCAAACATGTCCCAACACTCGCCAGGACAGACCACAGTTCGGGACCCCCCGCTCCTCGCCATCGCTACCAGCATCAAAAATACACAACTCCAGACTCTAGCAGCTGCTTCAGTCGGAACATGCGCTTCTGTCGTCCTCACTCTGACTGCGCAAGAGCTGCGCATTCTTTGGAGCCACGGTTCGCTTCTCACGACCAGTTGCTTCCGCCTCCTAGCAAGGCAACTTTAGAGTTAGGTTAAGACAGCCTGCAGAAGTGCTTGAACCTGTCGCTTCTTTAGATCCAAGCCGTCTCTGATGCTCGACAAGAACAGCTGTTGTTCTTCTGAACTTACACGAGGCGACAGAGCCCCAAGAGGCAAAACGAAATGCAGAGAAAGCCAGTTCTTTACGTCCACAAGGCTCTCTAAACTACAGGGCGGCATGCTCAAGATCATTTTTGATCTCCTCGCGGGCGATGAGCTGGGCCCGGAAGTCACGCCATGCCTGTGCCCCGCGAGGAATCTCAACCTCTGCGTAGCACCAGCCTGAACTCTAGAGCTGCACCCGGCCTCTGGCGAAGGGCCGCTTCCCTGCCCAAGCACGACGCAGGAATTTGGGATTTCTACGGTTGTCCTCACGATCACGGGAGTTGGCGACATAGGACATAGGACACAAGCCACCAACCCAAGACCCCAGTGCAGTGCCAAAGCTGGCCGGCTCAGGAGCCTGGCCTGCTTTGCAGGTACAGGAAACTGGGTCCAGCTTCCCTTCTAGTCACTTCTCATGGTTTGATTGGCATGGTTTGGGAAACCGCCATGGCCCCCTGCATTTCTTCAACCCCTAAACCACTTGAGTGCAACCTTGCCATGAGCGAGGAAAGTACACACACACACACACACGCAAGCAGATGGACACGACTGTCAAAAACGGAGACACGGATCATTGCCTTCAGAGTAGTCAACAACCTACAGGCCTACAGTGTCTTACACAGCCCCTCTCTGACACGCAAGAGTGTCTGTGCGTGATGCATGCTAGCCGCCCAGCCACTGAGTGAGTAGCCGCATGGCCGTTTGGCTCGGCATCACTCCCCACGGACCCCACGGACCCCACACCTCACCCTCCCTGTCTTCACATAGGGCCTAGGGGGGGTCTAAAGCGCCTCGGCTCGAAGTGACACGCGGCGAGGGCCCGGGCCCGGGCCCAGCGGGAGGCGCTGGAAGCACCTGAATGACAGAGAGGAACACGAGAGACGAGTCGCATCCTTCTTCGCATCCTTCCGAAACTAGTCCCGAGATAACAGACGAACAGGAAACCTCTGGCCTTTGCACCGACCTCAACCACAACCAGAACGAAGAAAGACACACAAGGAGCTCCTAAACCCTACTCCCTGATGAAACCTTGCCTTGTTGGGAGCTGGGTGGGGGCATACCGTGTTCCGCTGTGCAGTCCGCCCCTTTTCCCGCTGTGCTTCGGAAGGGATCTTGGGGAAAGGGTTGACCCGGGCTACAGGACTGGCTGCATTATCCTGCGCTGGCAGTGACGTAGAGAGCGTAGGTCGACCGTCGCACCTTCCACAAATCCAAGTAGCCGCGTATCTCCTCTGTGCGAACAGATGCTGAGACCTCTGGGTCGTTCCAGCGCCTGTAGTCGTAACGAAACTCAGCGAAGTAGTGTGCATCGACCGGGCTGGCAACACGGAGTGGGTGGCAAAAGTGACACCCATACCATAAAGCTTCGACCCGACTTCCATGCAAAACATCGTGGGCGTCTGCACGAACGCTTGTTGCCATCGCGTTCCTATGGATAAAAACAGCATCAAAGCCAACGAGCTGCCCCAAGTGGTAGCCCAACGGAAACAGGAGCTCGGTGAAAGCCGAAAGAGAGCAGTGAAGAAAATGCCCTCTGCGCCCCTTGTCCTGGCCAAGCTCTAAGAGGGAGTCTCCAACACCTGCTGTGAAATTGAAAGGTCTGAAAACAATAGGGGGTGGAATAAAGGAGTGGACCTCGACATGGATCAGCATCGGAAGCAGCTGCCGACTGAGGAGTGCCTCGACAAAGCAGCAATCACAGTTATCCACGTCCACCTTTGCTAGCAACAGGTCGGAAGCCGCGGCGGGATACCCCATCTCTGTGTGCCGAAACTCCTCCACCGCCGTCAGCACGCTGTGCGGTGTCGCAGGCTCGAGCTTTAACTTCACACCGTCACGTTGGTGCAGGCCTTGCAGTGTCTGGTAGGCCTCATGATCGCCTTCAAAAAGAATTCCACGCAGATCCGGTAGAGCCAGAAGCAAGCAGCTGGCTGGATCGTTACCGTCTTCAGGACCACGTTGGTATCGGCCATCCTGCCGTAATGCATCGTGGACGCAGTCCCCGTCTCCAGCTCCAACGTTGATCAGCCAGCGTGCTCTTGAGCTGCTGGGACTGGTCAATGCCCGAAAGGCATCTTGAGCCATGACGTCCTCCAGCCGTGGCGACGCATACCACCACAGCAGGTCTTCTCTCGCGCAGACGTTGCTCGGGCTCAGCAGCACCGTCGCGCGAGGGACACGAACGATTGGGAAACTGTCGTCGATGGCTCCGACATCAAGGTAAACAGCGTGCCGCAGGAGGTCATGCAGCTCTGGATAGATTTTCTCCTCAACATCATTCGCGAAGCATGGATGATCCGGCAGCACCTCAAAAGCCATCGCCAAGAGCTCGTCGGAGTCAGAGATCGGACGGATTTCTGCCAGTACGTGCAGGGCCTTCTTGAAACTGGTACAGAGATCGTTGAAGTTGCTGGCAAACTCTGGCATGTGCACATGGCAGAAGTCGAGTGTCAAGAGGCAGTCCAGCTGCCGCATGATTTCCAGAAGGTGAAAGTGTCTGCTCTCAGCGTCGTCTAGCCAAGTATTTCGGACGAAAGACAGCCAAAGAAATTCTGATGCCTTGACTGAGCTTTTCAAGCTCAACCGGAATGCATCTTCCTCTTGTTGCTGCACCTGGCACTCACTCGCGGACAGAGGGCACCAGCCACCGAGGGGTGCCGTCGCATGCACGGCAGCAAGAGACATGCGCAGGGCCCACATAGCAAGGCATCGCAAGCCTGCAAACAAGGCTGCAAGCATATATGACGTGAGCACCGAAGAAGTTGACTCCGAACAATTCGGTCATGTCATCCATTCATCTTCTGCCGAAGCATGACTGTGGCCGAGAAGCACTGGCAAAGCCAACACGGCCAGTACAGGCAAGAAGCGACCTCAGTTGCAAAAGGATTAAACGAGCCGGCGACAGTTCCAGAAGTCATGCGACGCGACACGCCTCTCCCCGAAACCCGACCCCCGAAGTCTGAGCTGGGCCGAGAGCGTCCGCTGACCCGCCCACAGTGCCCGCCGCCCAGTGGCGGCCGGGCCGCCATGGCCGCCATGGCTGGCACGTCGTGCTCCACTCACGGCAGCATTCGGCACATTCCGCACATTGCTTTTGCTTCCTTTGGGGGAGGGGAGGGACTGAGAGGACTGAGAGGACTGAGGGGACTGAGGGGACAGCAGGACTGCAGAGCGATTGCAAGTAGGAGGCCGAGGGCCTAGACCTAGACCAGGTTAGAACGTGAGATCTGCTAATGGGATCTGAAGTTGCGCATCCAGGTTGAGAACGTGAGCCCATTCCTGCATGCGGAGCACGAAGCCCCGATCACCCAGACACGCTCACCGCCGCATCATCTGCACCCCGAGGAAGCCACATCCCCTTGCAACTGCGCATGCATCGGCTGCAACATCCGCAGCATGGCAGCAGAGCAGCAAGGACCGCTGCAGGCACGATCACTTCACTACACGCCACGCCGACAAAAGCAATGTCAGCACCAGTAGTAGAAGCCGGAAACACAAGAGGAAGTACACCCGAGCCAAAGGTGCAACCAAATATCCCGGACGGACGATCCACAATTTTCGCAGGCTGAGACGGATCAGAGCACTCTGTCTTGCGCACAGTATGCTTAGGATTGCAACACTAACCTCCGAGTTTGCTTGCCTTAGAATCCCTGCTGAAATCTGCAGACGGATTGTGACATGTAGTTAAACTATTCCTACCACTTCGGCTTTTACAACTAATGCAGCGGGGCTGATGCGTACAGCAGAGGCAGATCGAACTTGAAAATACGGAAGCCTAGTGCCGCATGATCGCTTTGCATGTCCAACACTTGGTCATGCCCTTGGGTCATCGATTCTGGCCAACCCCAGGACAACCAGCTCTGTGCTTCTTGCGCTTCGGACACAGCGAGTACCAATCTGCACTGCACGCCTGAATAGCACAGCGACATGATAACCGTTGCAGTTCGCTAGGTGTTGTCAATGTCAATACACCTCTGGCGTACAGCACCCGTCTCCGTCTCTCACACGAGTGAAACAATGGTCTTTGCAGAGCTGGCCTGAGCTTTCTTGCTTTTGCCGAGCACTTACAAGGTTATGAAAGTAGATGCCTCAGCGATTCAAGGGCAACTCGAAACACAGCAGACAGCTCCTCCACATTCTTCCTCACTTCCCCAACTTGGCCCCAGCTAGCAATCCCACATTCAAAAAATCAACCTGTCTTCATCCAAGACACGCCTACGATGGCGACACGTCCTGCCAGGTGTAGCTTCCCAGCTCTCCGTTAACATGACATGGCGCCGTTGGTTCCAACACTGCGGATCCCTCCGATCCTCCTCGTTCTGATAGGACTGGATCTTCTCTGCCTGGGCCCCCCGCTTGCAGTTCCTGGGCAACGAAAGCAGGCACACGGCCAAACGGAAGGAAAACTTGAAGCGCTGGTGGCAGGCCCCGATCATTCCCGAACCTTTTGAATCCTCACGGGGGGTGTGGCACACCGGAGAGCGGCAAAAACAAGGAAGTGCTCGCGGGAGCCAAAGACACGCTAGGATCTGCCCATGCAGGGGCTGGTCCGTGCCGCTGTTGCAGGCGTGAGCTGCTGGTGGCAGCTTCAAAGACACACACTCTCCCGATTTCCGGAATGACGCTGCATTTCTTGCACTTGGCGGGAAGGCCACACCACCAGGTGCCACTCGTCTAGGGAATCCGTTCGATGTTGGCGATGCTGACGGGCTGTGAATGCAAGTCTGCCCGACTGCATGCAGGGTTTGTTGGTCGCTGTTCTCTTTGCTGTGGGCACGGTGAAGAACTCAAGTACAATTCAACTAGCTAACGAACCTCCATGTCCGGCAAGTGGCTCTGAGTAAGAGTCACTGAAGGGCGGCTGATAGCCATGTGTAACACTTGAAGAAGTGAAAACCTGCTGTGCTATCGTCGAAGTCGGCAAGCAGTTCGTCTGCAACTCTGAAAATCTTCAAAATCAATCTAAGGAGCAAATCGTAAACCACATGGCCCTCCTGCAAGCACGTGCAGCTTCAGCATGCGCCACATGTCTTGCAACCGATCATGTCGTTTCTCCTCTCCAGTCATGGGCCCAGACAGAAGCGCTATGCCCGTTATGTATAATGTTTCAGTTTCACTCCAAAGAAATACAGTAGAAGCTACTGTATCCAGAGGACTGCAGTTGCATCTGCCACTCTGCCACTGCCACAATTGAAGAAGCATTGAAGAAGGAGCAGGAAACAGTGAGAGTTGCGTCATGCCCGGCATGCCTCATGCCAAGGCAGTCCTTGAGCCGTATGCCCTCCACAATGGCATCCATCCAGCGGTTCTTGGAATCGCTCCAATATTGTACCTGCAGCAAACTAGAACGGCGGCATGAAAGACTAGGTTCTTGACTCTTGATGCAAGACTGGCTGTTCTACGGTGGTCCATCATTGGTTTACTGCTGGCGTTAATGCTGTGTATCTCGAGTAGACTGCTTCTCGCGAGACTGGCAACACACTACGAGTGATTATTGCTATGGTTACGACGTTTTGTCAGAATTGCATCTTAGACACCGGTTGTGACGACCATGGCACTTGGTGTACCCAGCATACTGATGATGATGAAGATGAAGATGATGATGATGATGATGATGATGACAAGGATGATGATGACGATGATGGTGGTGGTGGTGGTGAGACTGATGATGATATTAATGTTGACGACGACCGCGGTGCTGATGCTGCTTCGTTCGGTGTGCCGTTTCTGGTTCTTCTGCCGTAGAATGCAGCACAGCGAGATGATGGCACCTGCTCCCCCAAAGCGAACTTGGCCGTCTCTAGCGCCTCACCAGCAAGGCGAGATGGCTCTCGGAAGCTCTGAGTCTCCAATTGAATCGAAGCGGCAGGATCCAGCGGCTGCTGAGCCTGCGAGGGACCTGCAAAGGGCGGTACACGGCACGCCCGGCACGCCGCCCACACTTCGCAGATGTCGTGCAGCACGCTCTTTGACTTCACATGGCGTGCAGCACGCTCTCACCGTTTCGCCCGAGAGATCTCGCCTGACTTTTCTGGAGCAGCGGCCTGGACGGCAGGGGTTTGAGGAATCAACTCGCAAACCCATTACGCACTAGCTTTGTCTCAGTCTTGCCCCCACTCGCGACACCTGAACTACTAATCTGCAACTTCGCGGTCAGAAGCCTCGCCAGCCCTAGCCGTAAACGCTTCACATGCATGCCGAGTGGCAGCACCGCCACTGTACCCAGCCATCCGTGCACCTCGAAAGAACCGTTCAAGCTCTCGGCGGGGGCCCGAGACCCTCTGGGGGTGTTGCCTTGTGGCCAGTGCTGGACTATAGCCCCCAATATTGCCCCGTTCACTCTGCACCGAGGAATACTCTTTCTGCATTCGAGCGCTTCGCGTTTTCCTTCCTGGCTCTTCACGAACTCTTTGCTACGTTTGCCTCTGTCAGTCATGTTATAATTATCATGCCTCATGAGATATGCAATCTGTGATTGGTGTGCTTGGTCTCGTGCAGCGAAGAAGATGCAATGCAGAAGAGAGATTAGAACTCGAAGCACAATGCCAGATGACCTTGCGCCTTGTGTCTCTTCGAACCTCTGGCCCGGTCTCCGCCAAGGGCCGAGCGTCGCTCTTCCGGAAACTCGGTGAGCGATTTGGTGACCGTTTGGGTCACTGCATCCTCCTGCCCCATGCAAAGGAAGCTGCGCCCTGGACGGACTAGCAACCCACAGCGCGACTGTGCGAGCTTCTGCCTCCGGGAACTCCTCCTCGCCATCTTCGTAGTACTGCGCAAGTTGGACAGACAAGCCTAGTCAAGCCCAGTGGGCACTGGGAGCGGATGCGCGTCCTCGTCGAAGTCCTCCTCCTGGTGCGCCAGCTCCTGGAGCAGGGGCTCCGCTTTCGTCGGAAGAAGGCGATAAGGCGACAGCACGCGGCCTGGAGGGCTTGGCTGATCGTCATCTCTCCCGGCAAGATCTCCTGGCTCAAGCGCCACTGCTCTAAGCCTCCAAGTGCTTCTTGCAAGCTGACTTGCCTCTAGGCTTCCCGAAACGAAAACCGTGGCACCGCTCAGCCTCTCCTGATAACTTGCCCCGCAGGCCGGACACTGGGTCATGCCGGGATCCCGTCCTGGGACACACGAGAACGTGAAATACCCGCTCTGCATTATCCGCATGCTCTGTGGGCCAGAGGCGAGAGGCTACGAAGGGCCGTCAGAGGCTGCGCATGGAACACACTCACACACACGCACGCAGAGACAACGAAAGTCATACATGGCCACATACAGACACCGAACGTGACATACACGGCTTCGCCCGCCACCATGAAGGCTAACCTCCAGGAAACATCAGTGCCGCCGCGGTGCTCGAATAGCCGCACTGCATGCAAGCCTTGCCTTGGCTGAGGCTGAGGCTTGCCGGCGGCTCCGCACGGCTCCGCACTGCAACTCTGCAACTACATCTTGGGGAGCACTTGGAGTGCACGAAGGTTTCTCAGAGTCTTGAGTGCATCCTATGCCCCCCCCCCCCCCCCCCCCGCCCCATTCATGATATGCTTCCGTGACTTGCCCCGAAGGATATATCGACCGCTCGCCGCTTCGTCCCGTGTCTGATCGGCCGTGACGCGAAGAAGGATGTTCTCGAGCAACCCATCATCCTCCAGACCCTGCAGATCAGAAGCATTGCCGACCTGGGATACCCAGAAGATGCGTTTGTGTATCTCAAGCTTCGAGACTGCCTCAGATGTCAGAGCTAGGCAGAGCCATGAATTCTAGCTTGTTTGGGCCGGAAAGCCATGTCTTGTCCAGGTGTAGTCGGCTTACTGCCCGATTCCCGTATGAAAACATGCGGACTGCAAGCAACCTTTTGTGCAAATGAGCTAGCCGCACCCCCCCCTCTTCGGAGCCATGAACAGCCATGCCAAGGCTCATAGTTGCCATCGATGAACACCTGCGCAGAAATCACGGAAACAGATGCGCCCCCATGGGTAAGGAACCATGCGGCGATCTTTGGGTTCAGATGTCGCAATAAACACTCAATCGCTCAAAACCAGATTCTGCAAACCTTCCAGATGAGTGCAGGCCTGTGGAAGGAGCAAGTCATTGTTGCCACCTGTCTGAAGTCTCCGGTCCTCCATCAACTTTTGGATGGCCTCAGCCGAACTGCCCTGCCTATTGGAATCCGGTGTTGAGTTGGGGCTAGGTTTCGGCCTTCAAGTCGTGCCTGCTCTTAGGCTCGTTCGCACTCTCCCTCCCTGCATCTCCCTCTCTTCCCGCGTCCGTCGGAAATGACACAACCCTTGCTTGCAGCACGCCCTTTTCGCAGGGCCTGGCCGCAGCTGCTAGGAGCAGTTGTGTGGAAGTGTGGCCCCACCGACAAACTGCAGCAGCTGCGGCTAACGTTATTCTATTTTGAAGCTACACAGGGAAGAAACACACTTGAGCTTGCCTTCTTTTTGCTGCGTCGTTGTGTCCATTTCCAATACATGTGCTTGTGTCTTATCCGCATGTTATTCGCTCCCCTTCTTTCTCATGAAATTGTCGTTTTTCAACACAGCCTGAGCAAAGGACCTCAAACACCCTAACCCCGCCGCACCACCTCTTTCTCTTTCTTGCGTTCACAGAGAAGGGAAGCTTTGGGCATCTCTCTCTCTCTCTCCTTCCCTCCCTCCGTCTCCTCCCTCTCTCCCTCTCTCTCTCTCACTCTCCCTCTCCCTCTCCCTCTCCCTCTCCCTCTCCCTCTCCCTCTCCCTCTCCCTCTCCCTCTCCCTCTCCCTCTCCCTCTCCCTCTCCCTCTCCCTCTCTGTCTCTCTATCTCTATCTCCCTCTCTGTCTCTATCTATCTATCTAACTATCGCTCTCTCTCTGTCTCCCTCTCCCTCTCTGTCTCTCTATCTCTATCTCTCTCTCTGTCTCTATCTATCTATCTATCTAGCTATCGCTCTCTCTCTGTCTCCCTCTCCCTCTCTTTCTCTGTCTCTCTCTCTTTCTCTATCTCTCTCTCTCTCGAAGCACCACGGCTCAGACCGCCTCTACCAGCAGAGCTTTGTATATACAGCCGGGTGCCGCATGACATGGCGTCTTCTCATGCTGCTTTCGATGATGAGTCTAGTGGCAAGTGCGCTGACCTCTCTGCCAGTACCGACAGGACCTCCGAATCGATCCGCAACCCCAACAAAATTAGCTCCGCGTGGTTGGGACCCGACTCAGGACCCGATTCAGGACCTGCAACCGGCCCCGCAAGGGAGTCCGCGTTGGAAAAGAGCTCAGTCATTGATCAGGACACGTGTGCTATGGACTGCTCGGCCGACACACCCGCGGAGTGCATTTTGCTCTCCAAGCTGGGATCTACACCGAAACGGAAGGTGCGCCGCAGAACCTCCATACTTAGGTCCCAGGATCTTCTCGCAGCGCAGGCGCTGGCACAGGCACAGCGCAAGCACGATGCCACTTACGGCCCCTCTCAGGGCGCCGCGCAGGTTCTGTCCCTGGCTCAGAACTCTGAGAGTACTTCTGCACTGGACCTGCACTCAATGGATTGAGCATGTGCGTCATGCCGGCGGTCCCGGCACTGGGAACCAGCATTGCTTTCTTGACCATGATGATAGCTGCGAGCGCGCTGCTCGCGGGAGCACTAGCGATGCTCACCACAGACGGCTCCCTCAGCGGAAGCCGGTCCGAGCCGAGCCCGGTCCCAAGTCCGGGCCTCGATTTCCAATTGCCCATCACCATCCCGTTTGTCAGGCGAGGGGTGCGAGGGTTGCTGGATACCTTGCCTCAGGTCCAGCAGGAGCGGCTTATTCAGCCCTCCTAGTGCTATCACACACTAGTGCGAAGCCACGAGGTAGGCGATCTTCTTTTTCACCGAGCATCGCTGCAGCCTCAACATGCTGAACTGGTAATGCAGATCGCGCAACTCAGGTCACCCAGATTATTCTGGAAACCATCTTCTTCTTGTACCACCTTCTTGCCTCACCGGCCCTATTTGGGGACCGCCTGCTCCGTTCTTTTGCTCCTTGTGTGGTCTTGACACTACCTTTGCAGGACTGCTGCTCAAACCAGGGACCCGCCTTAGATCCAACCTGTAAGGAGGCATGGGGGCCGCGATCCGACGCAAGCCGTCTAGCTGCACTGCCGGCATTACCGGCCGTGTGGCAAAGAGGCCCAGCTCACAGAAGCCCAAGGCCGCTCTCAAACGCCCGAGCATGCCTCGTTCAGCTACGGCCCCTTGCGGGAGCCGTCGTCGTGGTCGGAAGCCGGCTGGCCAGGTCTCCAAGCACAACACCCGCCTTTCTTCTCAAAGCAGTTCCTCAGGCCGCACCTCGCAGATCTCCTGGTTCACCGACTCCTCGGAGACTGTCGATGCAATGGACTTGGAGCTGGTGGACTCGGAGCTGGTGCCGCCGAATCCGCCGGGACCGTCTGCTGGACCGCCGTATGGTCCACCGAGACCCAGGCCAGTACGGGATCGCTCCTCTGACTCTGCCGAAATCGAAAGGAGCGGGAGGAGACACGGCCCCCCTTGTGGGCCGCCGCCGCCACAGCCCGTGCACTACTCCCACTCCCCGTTCGGCAACACTGACGAGGAGAAGCCGCCCTCGAGAACTACATCAGCAGCTGGATCGTCGCGCAGAGCCAAGTGAACCGCATGAGCCGCATGAGCCGTATGAGCTGCATGAACCTGCTAGAGCGATCCGAGAGAGCAGCCATGGTGGAGTTGTCTCTCCCTTTGCAGGGCAGCTGCGAAAACTAGGCGTACTTATGCACTTCTGCCACACTCTGCTGTATGAGCTGAGCTTCTGTATCTGGCTGCCAGGTGAAGCACGGTCTACTCACACCTTAGGTCGGTCGGCTGCTTGGGCAGCCTATGCTAAGTGCAGCCCCTCACTGTGCAGCCTCACGGCCCCTCACAGGGAGCCTTGTCTTCTGTCAGGTGTGCTCCAGCTCACTCGTATATCAGGTCAGCCTGCAACTCGGTCGGCCCCACTCGGGTGCCGTGCTACTTCTTGCAGCCAACACACCCCGCTGTGTGGGCGCTATCCTGGAACAGGCTGGAACCTGTACCTACGAGCATGGCATATGTCTCACGGTCTGCCTCTGAGCCTCTGTGGGCGAGATCAGACACATGTCCGACCTGCACTTTACGGCTTTATTATGCGAGCTCAAGGGCAGTCTTTTGGCTTTCAGAAGTGGGGGATTTTCCGCTCCATGTGTTCCACCCGGCCCTTGGGGCCTCGGGTTCTCACTTCCAGAGCTCTAATCATTACCCTTACCTCTCTGCTTAGATTTCCTTCCCATCCATCTCGGACCCCTATACAACAGCATCAGAGGGACATATCGGCCATGGGGAGGAGGGCCGGCCCTCGATCACGATGGCGGCCAGATGGCCGCCGCAGGCGCACCCAAGGAGAAATCGCCAAAAGGAAGGCAGAGCGGGCAGCTCAGGCAGCTGCCCATGACCAAGACCAGGACCCGACAGACACTGAGGAGGATGAGGACGGCCCCGAAAGGGAGCCGGTCCCAGCTGGCAGAGACGATGAAGAAGCCGATGATCACCCCCCAGAGCGCGAGACTGCTGGAGACCGAGTGGGGGTTCTCAACGATACCAGCTCTGAAGAACAGCTCGAACTGCCACGCCTCTCTGGAAGCAGGTACGGATTGCGGCCGGCCCCCCAAAGGGGAGCCGAAACGCGGCATCGCAGTGCCCAAAGGGGCTACCATCGCTCCAGATCGCCGGTGCGATCACCAGCGCCGAGAAGAAGCCCGAGTCGAAACCTCAAAAGCAATGTCGCAGATCTTGCGACACACAGGGCGAGTACGCGAGGACGGATATATCCCCGTGACAGAGCTACTGCGGCACCCACGCCTCCGGCAGGCGGGCGCTACCCTGACAGACATTCAGGAGGCGGTGCACGCCAATGACAAGCAGCGTTTCCAGTTGTCATGGCAAGGGCGCGGGCACGGTCGCGAGCTCCTTATCAGGGCTACCCAGGGCCACTCACAGCAGCAAGTTCAGGACGACCTTCTTCTTACCCGTATTACGGCCCCACATGAGGTGCCGCTGGCGGTTCACGGAACATACTTTCGACATTACTCCTCGATTTATCACCAAGGCCTGCGAGCGGGAGGAGACCGAGGGCAGCGGGCCAGGAGACATGTCCATTTCGCCATGGCCCTACCCAAAGATCAACACAGGGCCACTTCTGGAATGCGGAAAGATGTCGAAATCCTTCTTTATCTCGACATTCCACGGGCTCTCCGGGACAACATGCGCCTGTATGTCAGTACCAACTCGGTGGTGCTGACGGAAGGCTTCAATGGATGTATTCCCATCGACTACATCATGAAAGTGCAATATATGCACCGGCAATGTGCCAATGACGTCCCAGGCACCCGGCCGCCTGAAGGCGGCCTTTGCCGCGATTGGCGTCTCACCCCAGGAAGGAAGCCGAGGCCACTCGCCGGAGCGGGTGCCGAAATCCAGGCGACATTCCAGAAAATCTCGCTTAGATCACTGCAAGGTCATGTCTTCTATAATTCAGCCACCTGTGCTCCTTTCTGACTCTGCTCATGCTCAGGTCCTTTCTCACCCGACTCGCTGTCATCAAGCTCCCACCTCGGCTGCTCGACCCCAGTGGTTTGTGCCCTCACCCTTTCTTTTTGAGGGACCGTTATCACCCCATCCACGGTATTGGCAGGCTCGGCCTCTACTTGGGAGCCGCCGCCGCTCCGGACAAAGCTCTCGCAACAGGTTATCCTCTCGGTCTTTTCTTAGCAAGTTCGTGCTTGATTGCTTCCAGTGCCTACGCTCTCAGCCGACATGGTTCGCTGACTTACTGCAGCATTTCTCCATCATGTATCGCCCGGGAGGAGGGCCTAGGCAGCACTATCGGCCCGACGGCTCCCGACGAACTTGCCAAACGAGCAGCACGAGCTGCGGCCAAAGCCCATGGCACAGATGGAGCTCAACCGCCCCAGTCAGATACCCCTGCGATGCCGAAAGGGCAGCAGTTGACCGCGGGAACAGGCATGGCTCCACCGCCAAACCCAAACCAACAATCCAAACCAAAAACCTAAACCAAGAACCTAAACCAACATACGGCCACCCTACCCCCCCCCCCATCCATGCCCCACCCTCCACCCCCACTCCACCCCCATCCCCCCACCAAAAGCAGGTGCAAGTCGACGGCCCCGCCACGGGTGCCGGAGGTGCCTCCACGAGCTCAGGAACGGGATCTGCGGCAGCTACGTCGGCAGCCAACTCAGCTGTCACTGGATCGCGCCCCAAGGAGTCGCAGGCTGCTGGTTCATGGACACCGGTGCTGCCAAAGGCCAGGCTACCTCCTCCACCACCTGTTCCTCCGCCTGCACCGAAGCAATTGGAGTGGGTCCCCAAACGTACCAAAGCTCCCCCACCGGGCATGGACGTAACCCTGGGAGGGGCACAAGAGGCACCAGCGGTACCAGTGAGGCCGGAGACGGCGACCGAAGCCAGACCAGCTTCTCCAAAAGGTCAGCTCCGATGCCGGCGACCACTCCGACTACCACCACCACCGATCAGGACATCACTCAGGCGGCCCCCGATGGGGAGCCGACCTCGACAACATCATTGACCCTGAGAATGGATGCTGGTCAACCGCAGAAAAAGCGTCGCAGCAAACAGTGCCGCCGCCAAACACTGCACCTGCCCTTGATGCGCTGCGGCTCAAATGGGACTTACTACTGCGGGTTCACGAGGCCGCGGCTGAACTTCAAGATGCAGATGTACCTCACCTTCTCCACTTATACCAAGCGGCCGGCGGGTATGCAGCAAGACACCATGGCTTTCATCTCATGAGAGACAAGCTCATGCAAGAGGGTGTCGTCGGCCCCTCAGGGGTGCCGCTACCTCTGCCTCCAGTGGGAAATTACATCCTCAGTCTCGGAGTGAGCATCCTCGGCTTGCAGAGCAATGGTTATCTACCACAGATCAGCAGCTCGAGCACGTGCGGGGACCTGGTTGAAGCCTGGTCACTGGCTCTCTGGGAAAGCTCCCGTCGCGATCTGCTCGAACAACTTGGGGAGCTTTTTACGCTGTTGCACAGTCTGGTCAGCAACATACCCCGCCGGGTTTACGATTCCCTCCCATGGAGAATCTCGCTCGACCAGCTGACCATGGTGTTCCACATGTGGCTCGGGTCTCCGGTTGCTCCTGCCCTCACTGATCAAGAAGCTGCTGCTCCAGGCCCACTTGCTCTACAAGACCGTCTTTTCCGTGCTCGTTCCCTTTCGCCGCGAAGCGGCCCCCTTTCGGAGAGCCGACCCCCTGCGATGGTGGAGGCATATATGCTTTCCAGCGTTCATGCAAGTGCTGAGCCAGGTCCATACCTTCAGTTGTTGTCTGCCCAAGTATTGGCCATCATCTGTAGCCAGCAGCTCCTTTCTGTAGTATGCCTGCTGTGCCGGTGGATTCTCCTTGCTGTGGTGGTACCTTTGCTTCACCCTGCTCCTTTCTCAGGTCCAAGCACTACGTTCTGGGACAGCAGTCGCCTTCTCGGTTGCCGGCGCAACCCCAAGGCCCGAGCATCTCCAGCAAAGGTTCGTGTCGTCACACGAATGCTCATATTCCTCTGTTTTTGCCTGACTCTAGGCTTAGCCAAAGGCGACCCTGGTTCTACTGCCCCCACTACCCCTACCCAGCGGTAGCTCAGCAGACCAGCTCTGCTACTCAACACGACGGCCAACCTACCAATCCTGCACCTGTTCATGCAGGACGCCACTACCCGAGTCCCCGCGCTACCATTCGTAAACGTGCTCTACGCCGTGCCATAGGGCGTGCGACTCGGACTCCTACCCACACCACCACGTATCGAGGTAGGGTGTGTGCTCTCAATACGTTGCAGGGTGCCACAGCCGGTTCCACCACTCGGCCCGCTGTGCGGAGCCGCTCTCAGGCTACTGATCACCGCAAGGGCCCCAGGTTGCGGGCCATGACTTGGAACGTAGGCGGGCTCTCGCAGGATGCCTGGTTGGAAGTCCAGATCTGGTTACATAACCAAGAAGACTATGACCTCGTCTTTCTGCAGGAATCGCACTGGAGATTCACCAACTCCTGGTGCCTGCCTCGGTTTCATGTCTTTCACAGTGGTACCTCGGACCATCGCTTTCAAGGGTGCATGATCTTGGTGCGAAAGTCTCTAGCTCCCTTCGAAGACATCCGATGGTCCACGCCACTTCAGGGCCACCTCCTGCATCTCAGACTCCCCATCAAGGGGCGAGACGTTGACTTAATCAATGTGTACCAATATGCTTTTCATACCGGCCCTGACCAGGCAGCCGTTCTACACAAAAGAGAAAGAGTCCTGCACCACCTGGAGAAAACCCTCTCCTCGTTGCCTATTCGTAATGTCTTGCTGATGGGGGGAGACTTTAACACTACCGGTACACGGGACACCCGTGTGTATGGTCCTGGCACCCTCATTAGTCACCACCCCCACGCCGACAGACAACTTCTCGCCAATCTGGCCTCCACACACAAACTCACGGCCCTCAACACGTGGTGCCGAGGCTCCCAATCCTTTACGTATGAGCACGACAACGCTAAGAGCCACATAGACTTTTTCTTTGCACGTGAAGCCCAGGTCGATGGCCTTGCCAGGCAGGCCAAACCTGACCACGCTTTTCACCTGTTGCGTTGGAGAGGGGGAGCCCGGCACCACCCAGTCTCGGTTTCTTTACCCGCGATACACTATCAAACTGCGCCACCTGCCGCCGAAGTGCACCGAGACAAGGCTGCCAGGTACGCCTCTGAACAACCCAGCTCGTGCATTCAAGCCTTCCGCGACAGCCTCGCAGAGTACCTACCAGCCCAACCCACCCCTGAACAGCTCGACGAAGCCTTGCAGTATGCAGCTCGCAAACTGCTCCCTGCTAGCCACGGCCCTCCAACCCTGAGTGTTGCCGACAAGGTTCAAGGCACGGTGAAAGACATGTGGACCAGTCGCCAAGTTGCCCTGCGCTATGCGGTTGATACATTACGTCCCCTGACGGTTCCGGCCCAGATTCGGCACTGGCGTCAAACCGGAAATCGACTGTGGCTTAGCCTTGCAAATCTGTTCACCGCCTGGAAGCACCAGGCCCACTACTTGCACCTTCATCGCCAATTACGCAAACGTGGTCGCCAAGCCAAACGCGAGGTCCTTGACGAACAACTTCAGCAGGCTTGGCAAGCAGACAGGCAAGGGGATAAGTCCGCAATTTGGCAGGTTATCAGACGCCTAGCACCGAAAACCGCTAGGGTTCGTATTCAACTTCGGGGCGCCAAAGGTGAGCTGTTGACCAAGCGAGAAGAGGCCAAAAGATTTACTCAGTACTGTGAACAGGTTTACCACCTGCCCCGTGATCTCTCCTCGGAGGAGTCCTCTCTCTTTGACCAACCATGTGACGCTACTCCCACCCATGCTCTGCCACCCGAAGCTCATGATTCTGCCCAGCGACCTCCGGCCCCCCTGGTGGATGGCCGCCCCCAACAGGCGCTCGCCAGTCATCCTCTCAGTGAGGCCGAGCTTTTGTTGGCGATAAACACTCTCCCTGCCCGGAAGGCCACACCACAGCACCTTGCGCAACTTCTGTTGTGGCACCTTGGCAAGGAGGCGGTAGTACCACACCTTGCTACCCTTTGTGAGAACCTATGGGAGAAGCCTGGGACGTTCTACCGGTTATGGGCTGATGCATGGGTAGCCTGGCTTCCTAAACCAGGAAAACCGCCGGACCAGCCTGAGAACCTACGACCTATAGCATTGACGGAGGGAGGGTGCCGCATCGTTGTCAAAGCCTTAACCATGCGCCTTCGCCCAATCTTTGCCGAAGCCACTAAACTGTGGCCCCAGTACGCTTACACAACTGGCAGAAGCATAGACCATGCAATCATACGTGCCTTGCATCACTGCTCCCAGGTCCAACAAATCCTGGCGTCGCAACGTCTTACACTACGAGAACGTCGTCACACTGGCCGGAAGCCCACCTCTTGTCAAGGGGGAGTAACGCTCTCTATTGATACGAGCAAAGCGTTTGACACTGTCAACAGACAGGTTCTCGAGCAAGAGCTGCGGGCGGCCCGTGTACCGGAGCCGGAGCTGGCAGTTATCCTCAATCTCCACCACTGCATTGGCTACTGGCCTGCAAGCCAGGACCCCACAACTCGCGTGGCGAGTGAAAGGGGTGTGCGGCAGGGATGCCCACTAGCACCGAGCTTATGGACTCTCATCACCATCGCACTGTTTCGCGCGCTGGCAGGCGTCACCTCCGTCACATGGCTGCAAGAGGACACCACGATGTTCGCGGACGACCTACTACTCCAGTGGATCGTCCACCGAGTTCAGGATTTGGAGAATATGGTGGACATCATCGCCCACACCTTTCGGATCCTAGCTCAGCTTGGCCTTCAAGTTCAGCATCGGAAAACACAACTCATTGTGGCATATAAAGGACGGCAGGCCACACAATGGTGGCGAGCTCACACGGCCACCACTGCGGAGGGCCGCTTCCTGCTTATACCCCAACCTGGCAGCAAGGCACTCCGCCTGCCCATTGTGACTAAGCTGACGTACCTAGGCATTATCCTCTCCTATGTGGATGCCACCACTGCCACTGTTGACCACCGTCTGCAGGTAGCCGAAGCGCAGCGAGCTCGCCTTCTCAAGGTCCTCCACTCCCGCACACTGCCCACGACTAAGAGAGTCCAGCTCTGGCTAGCTTGTGTCCGGAGCTCTGATCTGTATGGTCTACACCTAGTCGACTTACAGCAAAGGCACGTAGTCCGGATCACAGTCACCTTGGTTAGGCATCTGAGGGCCATCGCACGCAGCTTTGCGCACATGACTCAGGAATCTAGCAGAGCGCTGCTCGAGCGCCTGAACGTAGAGGACCCCTTACTTTCCTTGCTGCAACGGAGCCAAAAACTTCTTGTCAAGACTCGTGATTCTAGCGATCCCATGGTTGCCAGGCCTCGGATCATACACTGGTTGGTTCATATCACTGAATCCAAACTGGCGCTGACCTCACACCTGGACCGGACCGTAGCGGAGCCCTCGGTTATTAGCCCGTCACCTCAAGATGCTGACCTCCAGTCTGAGGAGATCGCAGCTGCATCTCCCACGCTCCTGCCCGGCCCCCTCTGAAAGGGGTGCCGTACGGAGCCCATGTCGCTGGTAAGCACGGTCCTAGAACCACTCGTTTCTCCTGCCCAACCTGCGACCTCTGGTTTCCGGACCTGGCTACTCTCAAAAGGCACCACAATCAGTTTCATGAAACCCCCCTACCAAACCCTCTCCTTCAGATGGATGCAGCAGAAGTGCGCAAACACAGCATCGATGGGATGCCCGTTTGTATGCACTGTCGTAAGGACTTCACCACCTGGCACAACTTTCGGAGACATATCACGCAAGGGCACTGTACCCAACATCGACAACAGCTGGACCCTTCCTTCGTGGTGTCATCCGAGGATACAGTCTCTGAATTACGTAGCCACACTGACCCTGTTCGTGAGCCCTCTCATCCCTCTCCAATTTCCACACCTGCTACCACTGACCCTCCCCAAGAGTCGATTGGTACCACAGTGCTAGAAGAGCAGATTCCTGCTAAAGTGACCGAGGTGACTACGACAGCAACGGCCCCGACCCCGGTGGTGCCGTACACTGTGGCCGCTCCCACGGGCTCACCGCTTGATGGCTTGCTGCCAGAAAAACCTGAGGACTGGCTACGCTTTGCTAGACAGCCCAAAGCTCAGGAGCTTTTGCGGCAATTCTGCACTACGTGCGGACAGTGGCTCGTATCGGTCAAGAGCGTCAAGTTGCACTATCGCTCAGTGCATCAGGCTCTATATACGACGCACGGTGCGTCTGCGGCAGCAGATTGCCGAAAAATGGGACATCTCATTTCACCCTGCGTTTTTTGCGGCACTAAGGTTACACGAACAGACCAGCATGCTGCTACATGCCCGGTCCTTTGGCAAGCCCGCATCTGTTGTCTTGCTCAGAGTAGCTTGGTTTCACCTGCCCCTGCTCTGGTCGCTCCTCCCAATTGCGATGGCGACGGAGAGCTTGCAAATGGATCTCGACCAGGAAGAACAGAGTGTGTTTGGAGGGCTTCTAGGGAAAAGAGCCCTACAGACGAACTTGACGGAGAATCCAACCAAATATCAGCATCCAGGAGGCAAAGGCCCTCCGCCGAATCGGAGCAGCGGCACGCGCCAACAGCAGCAACCGTTGACGGGACGCGGCCCCCTTTCAGGGGAGCCGGGGCAGCGACGTCCCAGACAATCGCAATGGACCCTCCAAGATGCCTTCGGGAGATCATGCTCTGCTGCATCGAGTTGCAAAGGCCCTCATCGTCCAAGCGGACTATCTGTCGCGCCTTCAGAGCGATCACACTGTCATCTTCACGTTTCGAACAGGCAACGGCCCACAGCTGATGGTGCCGCTTCTCCAGGAGGTGGCAACAACTTGGCGCGAACAACGTCAGCAGAACAAGGTGACCCGCTCCTTGAAGCAAACTCTCATCCAATATCTTGCAGCCGAACTAGTGACCAGGATCAATGCCTTCGCGGCCGACACCGAGTCCCAGAAGAAGGCCCAGGAACTAGGATGGACCACGTCGGAGGGGGAGTTCAACTTCTTGGACTGGGACTTCGAGGACAAGAAGCTCGTCCCCCGGCAGGCGGAGACGCTCACCCACGATCAGATCCTCACAGACGCCAAGCGACTCAAGACCCTGCTGAAGAATCCGGACCTAGTCTTGAAGTTCAGCGGAGGCCGCAACGCCAAGCCCGACTCGACATCCGAGACAGCGACATTTGTGTTGGAGCTGTCCATGCAGCAACCAGAAGCATCGGAGGCGATGGCGATCTTCCGGAAATGGTATGCCAACTCAGCGCTCCTGCTCCTCTCTCTCCGGCTCAAACCGGCCCGCCCAGAGCGGTCGCCGTTGATCAAGGAGATCCAGGAGGCTGTGGGATGGTAGATGGCAGGGAACTCAGATCTGCTGTGTGCATTCCTGCTGCACTGCTACATCTTACACTGCACAACCCAGACAATCTTTGTTACATAAATGCCACTGCGTATCTGCTAGCCTACATTCAACACCTTGCTGGACCCTGTGCCCCAGTCCATGGCACCCAGTCTCTTGAGCGGTCACTGCAAGATTTGTTGAGTGCTCCTGTCCCTATACCTGGAGAGCGGATTACCATCCCTGACCTTCCCGGGTGGCACTCTTTTCTCAGCGGCTGGACGAACCTGCATCGCCAGCAAGATTGCCTTGAGCTCATACATCACTTATTTGACCAACACTGCCCAGCACACATGCGATGTCAGTGGGAGGCAAGACCGATACCAGGTACTGTTGCGGCACGCAGACCCCTTATAAGTGGTCTATTCAGCATTGACCTCCCTCTCCCTAAGAAAACCTCCAGTGCCACCATCCAAGAATGCACTATCAGCTGGCACGAACAGAAGATTCCCCACGGCCTTCTCCAAGCACCGCCCTACCTGCTCACCAGCCTTGCCCGATATGCAAACCCCACCAAAGGGAAAAATAAGACGCGTGTCCCTTGTAAGGCCATGCAGCAAGTCAGTTTTCCCGTCTTTCGAGGTCCTGGACATGAGATCCAATGGGCCACCTACGAGCTGGTGGCGGGGATTTTACACCTGGGGCCCTCGCCCCAGCAAGGCCACTATCGTGCATTTCTTGCGCATCCACGTGATGCCCAAAACTTTGCATCCCAGGTGTCTGCAACTTCACGACCAGGAGATGTGGCACCTGCAAGTGCACCGGGGATTTCGGCCCCCTCGGGGAGACCGTCGGCCCCTTCGGGGAGCCTGACCTACACCTGGTGGTGTACAGAAGATGGTCAATCGCCCGAGCTGTGTCATCCAACATATGCTCGGATCCTGAGTGAGAATTGCTACATTCTCGGCTTTCGTCTCACCAAGCTTTGATCTGTATAGCCAGTGATGCCGGTGTTAGGGTTAGTACCGAACTGCGGACTGCAAGTCCATGTAGTCAGAGCTCGATTTCAGTTTCAGTCTCAGCTCATCGAGCTGATGTTGTCTAAGGCGATGTACGTTACAGCTCTCGTTAGCCGCGCTGAATTCATTTCTGAATTCGGCGTGTCGCCTACGCCGCGCAAGGGACCAGGGGACGGTTCTGCGATCGCAAAGTCAAAAAAAGTCTCTCTCTCTCGCTCCCTCTCTCTCTTCCGGGCTTGGGGATCACGGCAGCGTCCAGGCCGATCACCCCGTGCGCGCGCGCACACCCGCTTGTCGCGGGAGGTCTTACCCCTACGAGGGATTTTCCCCCGAAGGCTCGGCTGTACGGGCACTGGGGTTCACCACACTGCTTGCCAAGTATACAGCATGAAAGAAACGACAATCAGGTATCAGTGTGGATCCCCCCTTGTGGTTGCTCCCTGGTCTCGGCTACGTGAGCTAGGGGTTACCACTCCATCCAAACACAACAAGGAAAGTGATGGTATTGTTCACGTGGTCCCCCTTTGGCAGTTGCTCTCAACAAACACAGCTAGTTCCCCCCATCTAGAATCCCCCTCTTATCGTAACACAACAACTGCATGCTCACTCTGAGGCCCGGGCCGAAAACTAAGGCTACATGTCAAGCAGCTTCACAGATGTTATGTTCTGCCCTCCCCCTGTTTCGGAGAGAGTAAGAACTACTGCCTTGGAGTGACTAAGGGGCGAGGCGACCAGGGTGCATTACCTATCCCCCAGCATCGCTGTTATTGCCATTAGTAGGGGCCATGCCTGCCGTAGTTTGCCCCCTGGATTCGCCTTCGGCGATGACTGCCCCCATCATCGTCATCCCTCTTTGGGGAGTTGTGTGCCCTCAGCGGTCGGTACTCAGAAGGCGGTGTGTCGTCGAAGTCCGGGATCGTGCCCCCAGGCTCCAGTGCTGGAAAGGCAGCACTTCCCCACGGCATAGTGGGCGCAGTGGGACCATCTTGGCCGTATGCTTGGGTTGGCAGGTCCCCCGCTGCATTGATGTCATTGACCAGGCTGTCTGTGAGAACGTTCTCTGCATGCGTGGTAGTATTGCCAAAAAGAGAGAAACTTTGTAGGGGGCGTGTGCTCCCCCTTCCTTCCGTTGCCATGGTGCTCTGCTCGTCCCGGGTCGAGCCTTCCCCCTCGATGTCGCGAAGCTCGTTGGGGGTGCCGTCGGGCCCGTTCTCGGCATCGGCGGTGACGTGCTCGTTGACGTGCTCGTTGACGTGCTCGTTGTGGTCGGCGTCGAAGTAGTCCGTCAGGGTTGGTAGTCCCCCTTCCGCATCGTCCGTAGTCTGCGTTCCGTCATGTACCGCCACATGTCCCCCAAACTGCGCTTGCTGCCATGCGTCGACACTTTGTAGGAGGCGCACGGCCAGGACTTGCTCCCCCACCAGGGTGGGCACGATTGCCCGGAACTCCTTTGCTGCCTCTCGGAGCAAGGTAGCAGCCCCTGCCGTAGTACTGGTTCTGGCTGGTGCTTCGTGTGCTCCCCCATGTAGTGCAATCGCATCCGCCGGATGTGCCATGGGCTCATCACTGCCAGTGGCTCTGTCCGCGGTTGCCATGGCTTCAGGCCGGGTAGAGAGGAAGCTTTCCCCCCGTAGCTCCAGGTAGGTGGCACCTTCCTGGATGAGTTCGCGGAGTTCCTCCCAGTATCTCAGCGTGTTCCAGGTCAGGTCGCCATTGAAGGACGAGTCACGAGCTGCACGTAGCAGATCCCCCGCTCGCTGCATCTGCCGCGCTGCATGTTGGATACGGTGGTGTGTGATGCCGATCGGCATCGGTTGGTGGAGCTGTACCGCCCCGGTTTCCACCATGAGGAGTATTTGGGCCAGGTCCTCGCCGTAGTCTCCTGCACTGAGAGTGCTCCCCCTCGAAATCCTGAAACTTTGGATCTGACGGAGTGCTTCGGCCAGTGCGTTGGGTTCGCTCAGTGCACGTCTGAGCCCCCGCGTGGCTGGTGGGTCTGCTTCAAGTGCTGCTGGGCAGTAAGGGTTCGCCGTGATGACGAGTTGCGTTGCCACATCCACCATGGTGAGGAGTGCGCCGCTCCCCATTGTTAGCTCGGCGGTCTCCCGGATTAGCTGCAGCTGCTGGAACATGGCCGTGGCGAAGCCATCCCAGTGTACCTCCGTCGGCGGATCCTCTGAGACGCCGCTCCTGCGTGAGCTCCCCTCGGGCGCCCCCCTTTGCATGAGCTCCGTCCTATCCGACTCTGTGTAAGGAGTCGGTGCCGGCGCTGGTGGCTGCTGTGACCCAAAGGTTCCCCCGTCACGTATCTGGTGGAACCATGGCACTGGGACGGTCCCCCCTGCTGCGCCTGTCGCGGCGTCCGGCCTTGGCTCCTGGCTCGATCGTCGCAGTGTTCTGCCGTCGCTGAGCGGGTTGCGAGGCTGCTGTGGCTGTTGTGGTGGTGGGTCCTGCTCGGTTGGACTGTCGTGGTGTGGGGGTGCTGGTGCGGTTTGCTGTTCTTGGGTTGCCTGGGTCGGCCAGGGCCATTCCTCGACCTCCTCTGTGTCGTGGTGGGACTCTGTTGGCTCTGGTTGGCCGTCTCCCGCACTGGTGGTGTCTGCTGGGTGGTCGTCCCCGGCGTTGGTGCTGTCTGCTGGTGTTGTGTAGAAACGGTCTGGTGTGGTGGTGGTGAAGAGGATGGACCAGTAAGATCCCCCTCTGGTGATTAGGAATTGGTCACCCACCTGCAAGGATAGGCTGTGGGGCTCCTGCATGTTGGTCGAGAGCACCTGCGTGGTGGTGGCCAACCACCGCCCTTCTGACAGGGGCTCCACAAGTAGCCAGGTCTCCCCGCTGATAGGCGGGTACACTGCAATCGGCATGGAGTTGGAAGGCGGTGGTTGGTGTGTCCCCTCCTGTGGCTCTGGGACATCCGCAGTGTACTCCACCCTGCTGAGCCACTTGGCGGCTCTCAGCGCAGTGTGTGTGGATGTGGTACGGCCGGAGTGGGGTAGTGGCGGTGGGGCAGACTCCCCCCCTCCGAGAGTGGGTCTCCTTGGTGGGCTGCTCGTGCGCTGTGCTGGCTGGTGTTGTGGTCTGGTCGGGTAGTAGCTGCGGGGGACGTCTCCTGCTTCTTGCTGGTCCGGGTGCCAGTGTGGTGTGTAGGTGGCTGCTTTGCTCCCCGGGTCGGGCCCGTGCTGCTCTGCGGTTGGCGGGCCGTGTGCTTCGCTCACGGTTTGGTCGCTGGTCTGTGGTGCTGTGGGTGGTCCGTCCCGGCCCATGTTGAGCAGTCGGGCCCAGTGGGCTCTCTCGGCGTCACTGAGTTGGGGGCGTTGCCAGTTGGGAGGGGGTACGTCGATCTGCTGGTGACGGCGGCTGTGGTGTGGTGGGTTGTGGTGGTGGTTGTGGTGGCTCCAGTTGGAGCTTGCTTGGTGGTGGTTGTGGGGGCCATGTTGGTCCTGTTCTCCAGTAGGGTGAGTGGTCTGCTGTGGCTGTTGGTGTCGCTGTCTGGTGTGGCTGGTTTGGCTGCCCCATTGCGTGTGGAACATGCCTTGTGCTTTGAGCCATCTCTTGATTCTGTATTTCTCTGCCTTGTTGCGTGTGCGGGTGGCTCCCCCTCCTTCGTGCTTTCTCGCGGCATGTGTCGGGCCTGCTCGGCGACGGTGGTTGTGGTTGTCCGTGGTGTCCTCCCCGTCTTGGTGGTCCGTGGGTTCGGGGTCGGGGAGGTCTGGTAAGAGCTCTCTTTCGATGTAGCTCTGGGGCACGATCCCTGTTGTGACCCACTCATAGTGCTCGCGCATGGTCATCCCCGGGATGCCTCGGGTGCCCCCTGGTGGTAGTGGTGGAATGCCTCCCCCTGGGTAGGGGCGGGGACGGTTCTCCCCTTGTGGTTCGGTGGCTGTGGAGGTCGGTGGGTCCGGTCCAGTCGGCTCGTTGGCTGTGGTGTCTGGTGGTGCTTCTCCGTGGCTGTGTTGGTGTGAGGGGGCCCCATTTGCTGATGCGTGCCGTGTGGAAGGTTGTTCTTGTGGCAGGTGTTGTGCGTGTGTGTTTTGGTTTTGCTGTGGCTCTGTCCAGGGGTCTGTGTTGGGGTCGTACTGGCCTGCATATGCGACTCCGTGTGGGCCGTAGGGTCTGATGGGCCCTGCTGCAGCTGGTGTGTCGGTGCTCTGGGTGGGCATGGGATGTGCCGGGCCGTCCGCTGGTGGCTGGATGATGTGCCCTTGTGGGTCGATCAAGTTGCCCTGGCCATCGTAGGTTGCGAAGCCGAAAAGTCTTGTGCCAGTTGAGCTGCCGTGTATGGTTGTTCGTCCGTAGGTGGTTGTTCTGGCTCTCTCTCTCTCTCTCTCTCTGTCTCTATCTATCTAACTATCGCTCTTTCTTTCGCCAGGGTTAGGGGCAAGAGGATTGCTCCCCTTACCCGCGCGCCAGTGCGCCCCATCACTCTCTCTCTCTCTCTCTCTGTCTCTCTCTCTCTCTCTCCCCTCCCTCTCTTTCTCTTTCTCTCTCTTTCTCTTTCTCTCTCTTTCTCTATCTCTCTCTCTCTCTCTCTCTCTCTCCGTCTCTATCTATCTATCTAACTATCGCTCTCTCTCTCTCTCTCTCTCTCTCTCTCTCTCTCTCTCTCGCTCGCTCGCTCGCTGTCAAGGGGAGAGTCTGTGTTCCCCCCTTTCCCCGCCACGACGGTGGAAGAAAGGGCTTTGGGGTCATTGGAAGGGGTTGCTTTCAGCAGTCGGTTTGGCTGGTAGAGTGCGTCCGTCAACCAACCCCCAACCCTGTACACTAACGCGCTTCCCGGCCTAGTCCCCGCGCCCTCTATGGCAAATCCTTAGACCCTGGACGGACGCATTCCCCCCGCAACAACCTACGGTATGTAGTCGTCCCCCTGCAGCAAAAGCAACTAAGGACCGAGCCCATAACAAAGAGTAACACCGTGTCGGGTGGATGGTCTACACGATAGCGCAGGTGTGACTGCTTAGCGGTTGGATCCCCCGCCCCTGTATGGTAAAGCAACAGCGAAGAACCACAAAAAGTGCAGGCAACGAAGACGGCGGGTTCACCGGCTAGGGAGGTTCTGTAGTAAGCGGTAGCAGTCTGAAAGTTGGGTCCCCCCTATTGGGATTCCCCGCTGCGCGTGTCAACTCTGAACTTTTGGACGCAGGGCTTCTTATTCGAATTTTGGGCCCAGGGCCCTTGCAAGGTGGCGTTTTATGGCTCAGCGGCCCGTCCTATTAGTCAGGCTGCAGGTGGCTGGCCTGAAAGAGGCACAGAGTCGCGATTAAATGGTATTTGTTGCTCGAAACTACGGATTTAAGTCTCTCTCTCTCTCTCTCTCTACCGGGCTGGGAGGTTGGGGCAGCGTTCAGGCCCCTCCCCCCGTGCGTGTTCGCACACCCGCAGTTTCACGGGTGGGGTTTTACCCCGTGGGCTCGGCTGCACATGAAACAGGAGCATCCCGCCCATGTTGTGCTCTCTCCCTCTCCCTCTCCCTCTCCCTCTGCCTCTGCCTCTGCCTCTCCCTCTCCCTCTCCCTCTCCCTCTCCCTCTCCCTCTCTTTCTCTCTCTCTCTCTCTCTCTCTCTCTCTCTCTCTCTCTCTCTCTCTCTCTCTCTCTCTCTCTCTCTCTCTCTCTCTCTCTCTCTATCTATCTAACTATCGCTCTCGCTCTCTCTGTCTCTGTCTCTCTCTCTCCCTCTCTCGCTCTGTCTCTCTCTCTCTCTCTCTCTCTCTCTCTCGCTCTTTCTCTCTACACACACACACACACACACACACACACAAAATGCCGCTGCCTTGTTCTCGGCATCTCCAGTACCCGCTTGTCTCGCATCCCGGTTGAAGTCGATGACTTTGTGGTGGACCTCAGGGTCACATAAATCGGAGAGCTGGGCACCAGATCAGCGTCTGACCGCAGATCCTTGGTAGCTGAGATATGCACGCCCTTGATTTCAAGAAGGTCCTGACAAAAGACCGCGCATACCGCGTGAAAGCAGTCCAGCCACGACCCTGTCCACTCTGGCACAAAGGAAAGGACAGAATCAAAAATTTACACAGCCAGTCTTCAACACCTAGACACACTGCACAGCTTTGTAGTCACAAGCTCATCCCCCCCACGAGGATTGCAGCCCACCCAGCTGTCCCGTGCCCGCTTCCCTGCGTTGTACTCCACACGCTTTGCACCGAGCGTGGTAACCAAAACCACGACTTCGGCAACATACCTCCACCAGGGGCAGCAATGAAGTCGAACGCTCTGGACGGGGGGGGGCACTGAAGAGGTCCACATACATCAAGGCATATAAGGCATCAAGGCATGGAGCTGATTCTCTTGTTCAAGGCTGCGGTTCTCCCGGCCAAGGTACTTGATTTCTGGCTGCACACGGACAGGCCCGGAGAGCATTCTCGCCCCGCTTAGCAGAAAGCTGCCGGCGGAGGCATGGAGACAACCCACCCAGTCGGGTCAGTGCAATCTATGCTCTGCTGAGTCAAGGGGAAGGCAGACCCCTGTAGGCCGTATAGGGCTTCGGTGGGCTTTTGGTGGGTGTCGGTAGTCTGTTGCAACAGGGGCAGCTTGCATACCTTCTTTTGTGGAAGTCCATATGACGCTACTCTTCTTGGTGCAAGGAGCCACAGGAAGATGCAGGGAAGGTCCTGAGCCTGTGCTACGTAAACGATTTCGGGTGCCACAGCCCGCTTCTTTAGTCGAGTCAAGCATGAATCGTGCTACTTTCGTAGGAGTCGCTGTCTTCGAACCGAAAAATTTCCCAAGGAAGCTTGTCCAAAGGGTTGCCACGGGGCACCAAGTCGACTCTCCTTCCTCTCAGCCAACAAAATCAGAATCTGGCTCAGGCCAGATACAACATAGTGATATCATCATGTTAATGTTGGCAGCAGCAGTTTCACCGAGTGACACGGAAGCAAATACACAAAACATCTGAGGCCCTGCATAGTCTGCCAAGCGTGGACAGCAGGCCATTGCCTCCGCTCTTTGGACCTGCAAGACACACAGTTCTGACGTCACACCCACGAGCTACCCGTATCAAGCGAACGCGCTTAGAGCCGCCTCCGGCGGAGCTTCGCAAGCTGGCAGACGGCCTTAGGCTTCAGCGAAGAGCGCTGCCAGAAAGGTAGAAATGAGCCCCTTGCTTGCTCCTCTTCGGTTGCCACGTGAATCCCCCATACCGTTGGATGGCCTCATGCGGCTGGAAGTGGCTTCACTGCTTTGCTACACCTGGTGGCATCATGCATTGGACCATGCATAAGCCATGCCTCGTTGAGCAACTTGTGGCCCTTGAAGCCGTCCTGAACATGAGTCATGAGTTGCAAAGCCTCCGATCCACACCGTAGCAAGTGCAATCGCATCTGATTGGCGGATTACCGGACTGATGCACCCTCGTTGCTGTTCGCAATCCTGCAAGCTGCGGCAGAGACACTGTAGCTGGCCTCACTGACTGTCGGAGCTGCCATGTTAGTGCCCGTGGGTTTGCTGGGCTTTCCTGAGGTTGCTCGTTGGTTCCTTGGGATTCAGGCTTGGGCTTCCGAAACAAACAGACTAGCCGTGGCATGCCCCATTTTTGCTTGAACAGGTTTCTCTACACATGTTTTCCACTGCTCCTCTCCCACGACCATGTCTTTCCTCTTGCATTTGTGCGGCATGGGGCTGATGGTGTGGAAAGCATGGACCCATGCGGAACTTGTCTGCACGTCGTGGACTGTGATTCTTCAGAACAGCCCTCCCTGTCTGTTCGAGCCCAACACCGGGCACGGTTGCAAGGGTTCTTTCTCGCTCTGCTCACACAGCCAAACGGCTTAGCCTGACTTTGACGCGTTTCTTTTGCCATATCAGTGCGACGACGCTCAGAGGGACGCCCTCGCTTGGAGAATCAGCTCACCTGGAGCTCAGACAGGGCTGACAAGCAGAAGCTCTTCCATAAAGACTGAGGCGGCGGGCGGATGTTGGGATCGCTCGTGTCCTCGGCGGGGGTCCGGCCCTGCGGTGCAGCACACAACACTTCACTGAGGCGCTGAAGAGAGAAAGTGTGGCTGTGACAGTGGGGCCTTCCGGTCCAGCGACGTGGTGCTGGCCCCAGCGGCAAGCATGAGCCTCACAGCCTCGCTGCGATTTTCTCGGACTGCGAAGCGACCCAATCCTTTGGCCCTCTAACATGGCCTCCGTCTTCTGCTTGAATGCCGCGAAGTGAAGAGGTGATTGCATTTTCTCGTTCGGCTCATCCAGATCCACCCCAGTTCCAGGGCTCAACCTGAGCAGTCAGACGAGGAACTGCTTTTCAGGAACAGTGAAACATGCATAAGCAGAGCCGAAGCCTTCAACCGAGGGCAAGAAGCAGGACTCGCAGTACCGAGTCGTGACCACGGCGACAAGCCCGGGACACTGCGGTGTTGCCCAAGTAGCCTGCGGCTTCCGCACAGGCGAAGCCTAGCAGCCCTGAAATACTCTAAGTGAATCAAAATAATGATATCTGTGACGGTGAGCTCCTGCACAGCTTTGTATCTATACAGTTTCTTTGCCGGACATCTCTGGATTTGTGTTTGCTGAGCAGCTACAACTCCCTGGCCTTTCACATTCACTTCCACGCCAGCTGCCAGCAGCGACTCAACCACGTCTGCCTTCCCAGCGTCGGCTGCCCACACAAGCCTCAGCGAAGTGGATCTAAAACCCCTCGATCACCGTGCGGCTCAAAGTGAGGAGGAGCAAAGAAACCCCAGAGCTCGGAGAAGAACAGCATGCCTCCCTCATGGGCAATGCTTCGTGCCACGTCACGCCTTGTGCTCCGCTTTGTCCATTGCGATGCAAAAATTTAGCCCCATCCTCGTTATATAAAGCCCCTCAGCATGTAAAGGAATGGTGCGTGCCAGCGGCGGTGTGTTTCCGCTGGAGTCCGCTGCCAGAAGGTCCTGCCAAGCGAATCACGGGCCACCGAGCTTGAGGCAGCCTTCAAACCGCGCACTTTTGCCTCCCTCGCCATCGCTTTCAATGCAGCAACGTCTCCATCAACGGCTGCACGACATGCGGCCGTCTCCGGCAAAGGCTCCTCAGGATGCAGCTTCGGCTGAAGCTCACGTGCCGTTCTGGCAAGCCTGAAACCTTGGCAACCTCCCAAACTTCATTGCCGCGGATCCGACTTTCGGGTGAGAGTCTGCGCTGAGGTGGAGCCCAGCGGGCCTCCCGAAAGACACCCTTTCGGATCAACTCGCTTCCGGGCTCTACGGTGGGTCTTCGTTCAAAGTTACCTAAACAGGTCGAGCTTGCACGAAGTTGTGCCTGGAATGTCGAATGTTTTCCAAATGAGCTGCGGAAGTTCCAGCAGACTGTCGATGACGAGGTCTGCACCTAGCAGAGCCAAAGCAGACTAGAAGGGCCAAAGAGAGACGTTTGAGAGAAGAACCAACAGCTCCAAGAGAGGATGCAACCCAGCAGCCGTAGCTGGAGTCCTCAGATGATAGCGACTCGGGCCCTTCTTTGATGAATCTTGCTACAACAAGACTCCGATCCAAGTTGCCTCAGGCTCGCAGTAACTTGCTCAGGACAGTGCAGCCAACATGAAAGGCGCAGTCCAAATGGCCCTCCTTACCTCCACTTGCCAACCGAGGCTCGCCCTCACGAAACCTCCGCCTCGGGTCTACCAGAGCGGTGGACACTCCGGCCGCTTTGCCAAAACCAATATCCTGGACGTCCGGACACGCCCACACCCTTCAGGTTCGAGGCCCGCCACAACGGTATATCCAAGGGGAAGCCATGTGTTACTGTGTTCAAGGGTTGCGCCAGGGGCCACTGTCAAGTGCTTCTTGAAGGTGTGTTCGTACAGGCTAGCTCGGCTCTGCTAAAGCCTTCGTTTCTTGTTGCCGGCCGCCTTGTGATCTCATTCAGAAGATTGCCATGGCCTGTGCTGTGGCCTTTGCCTTTGCTTTGGTTGGTGTCTGCCATCAGCATTCTGGAAAGACCCTGTGCTTGGGGTGAGGCCTTAACCGATAGGGCCTGGCTTGGGTTTGGGCTTCAGGCAGGACAACAACCCAACGCGGACTCCAAACTCAAGTGACTCCACATCCCATCCGACAGCGAAAAAATCAACAGGGCACTGCGCCTCTACAGAGTCTAGATTGCATCGCATACAAGTCATGCAAGGATTCTCTCTTCTCCCTAGCGCGCCGAGCTCGCCCCGCGGTCGGAACCGAGGAGCGTTCGAGGGGGAGTCCCCGACCATCAGCAGCCCCGGGCCTCTTCGGACTCAAGGACTCAAATTGATCCACTGACGAAGGAAGTTTAAGGCGGCTGAAACGCAACAGAGACATCACTTTGCAGAACGCACCAGCACACGGCCGCGGGCCTAGTTGCTGGTTCCACTCCATCGCAATTGCCTGCTCAACATGCACGTGGACATCTGGTCACTCTACTCCGAGACACCTTCGATGCCATGAGGACTGAAAACCGTTCGTGTGCGCAAAAACGGCCTCGAGGGCCGCCGGATGCGGCTTGTCGTGCTCCTCGCCGCTCTGCGCACAAACGCACGGAGATTGCACTTGGGCCCCAGCCCGGTCCACGTCATCGCGGCTCAGAGCCGGATGGAAAGCAGGGAGGCCAGCTTTTCCCCATGCGTTGTCCTGTGCTTGGTCGAAGCTCGTCAACAGCTTCTTCAGAACCTTGCGCGGCAAGGAGCATGCAGCCATCGGACGGTCGACGCAGAGTTGCCTCAGCACGGTCGGAGTCAGAAAAGCGCTCAGGAGTGGAACGGGGACTCTTCTTCGCCCAAGTGGCGAGTGACCAGGGCCGTTGGAAGGCCGTGCCTAATGGCGAGAGAAGCCGAGCGGATGAGCAGCTAGTGGCGAATAGAGAATATCGCCAAAAGGCCGAAGGCGAAGGCTCCAGACTCTTATCTAGACTCGTAATGACTCGTCGGCTTCCCCGCCCGGCCTTTGGAGCCAGCGGCCGAGTTCAAGCGCTCCCTCGGCGAGCTCCAGCGTGCGCCTCCCTTCGCCTTCCATCTCCTGCGCGGCTCCGTGCGGCTCTGCGCACGATCCACACGTTCTCTGTGCTGCTCTACACTGCGAGGCTACGCCAGGCTGACGGCGAGGTCGGCACTCGCTTCCCCATCCGAATAGCAAAACGTCTCCAAGCCGCACAGGCCCTTCGCGAACCTGGAATGCGAGGCATCCAGTCCTCGATGACCTTCCAGGCACTCTGCTGGCGATCCGGGCTCATCTGCCGGACGGCAGCAAGCAGGTCCTGAACTCAGACTCAGGACTGCCCATGGAGCCGAGCATTTCTAGCGTGTTGCCGCAGATCTGTCCTCCTTCATAGGCACTCCACATCTCTCCTGCAGCCGGCTTTTCTACGTCGCAACTCAAAAGCGGTCGACCTTGACCTTGTGCTGATTCAGTCAAGCATCATGCATCTCCCGGAAGTCCAGGTTGGGCACCTTTGGCTTTGCCGTTTGATTGAAGGCTCGAGGCCATGCTTGTCTTTGCCCGATGCTTGCGACGGCACAGTCAGCGTGCCGTCCAAGTCGAAGACAACACCACGAAGCAGGGGCCGCGCTGCAGACGCCATGTGCCGCAATGGCGACGTGAACACGCGCATCCGGAGTAGGATAACTTTTGAAACCGTGACAACCAGTAAGTCGCTGGGTCTTGACTCTGACACATGTCCACATCAGCCATAGCTACGACATCTGGAATTAACTCGACCGCCAAGAAGTTATATGACGTGCTTTTGCAGAGCACCCATCGCACATGTTAGACTCAAGGAGTGCCCTGCAAGAGGTGAAAATCGGCAGTGAAAGCAGCCACAAACCGGGCCGTGCTTTTCTGACAGGAAGATAGTAGCAGAAGTTATCAACTTGTGATGCACAGCTTGACAAAGACAGAATCAACGGAACACTGACCAGTGCAAGGCTTCCTTTCTTCCGGGCTGCTCCATCGGGAGGCACATGCCTCTGAAGCTCTCAATGCAATGCTGGCCCGAGGAACTTGTGTTGGAAGAAGTGCTTGCAGCTCCTGAGCTGAACGGAGGATGCAAGATCGGTAAGCGGTTGGGAACCACGCCCGATGCTACATTGAGTCTTTCATGCAATCACTACTAACTCGATTTCTTCTCATAGGTGCAGCGCAGCCGACGAGACAAGGAGACATGTACTTCCAACAGCTACTGGGCATCCAAAAATCCGTCGCAAGACCCGAAGCGCGTCCGACGTCCGAAACGGTCATCGGTCGGTCGACTGCCGCCCGGAGCCCGTCAGCGCGGGTGCACACTCTCACACAAGTCGAAAAGCAAGTGCTGGCCAAGATGCTTGGAGAGGCCATCGAGCTGATCCACTGTTGCATTCACTCCAGCGGCCAGTGCGTTCATCACGGTAGCAGCCATCATGTCTACAGGAAACCTTGGAGTTTGAGCTGGACATTTAGCCAGTTTGCTACTGCGGGGAACCTACCGGCATGTCGTTATTCATAGCATAGCCGCGCGGACAGTGGCGAGGGCGTGATCCGCACAGATGGGTGCTCATCGTTTCGGCGTTCCGGCTGCCGGGGGTTTGTCATCAGAGTGGGCCATTTTCGGGGCACCCAGCTTCGGCACAGCAGCAGTCAGTTTCGGGACACTTATTCTTGCAGGCCTGAGCCTGAAACTGACCATGGCGTGATCCGAAACTCTCCCGGACCATGTTCCGAAACCCCGCCCCGAAACGCAGCACCGAAATTAACCTCGAAAACCCTGAAACTCAACTTCTGATGCTTCTGTGAAAAATGATGTGAAAATCTCCGACACGTCGGCGCGACGAAATCGTGCCCGATCCCGATCCTCTTGCTGGTTAGAAGTCAGAAGCCATACTCGTCACTCAATGAGCTCTGAGGATGCCACCAATACTCGGCTTCCAAGTGGTCTGAGTCCAGGCAGTAGGGACAGAACATGTCCGCCGCCTCAGTTGGACTTCCTAGGTGAGTGCTTCAACGTTGTGACTTGCGCACGACTTGAGTGACACAGAAGTCTTCAAGCGTGTTCAAGACCCCGCAACTGCCGCACCTGCAGGCACTGCGGCTCCTTGGCATGGGAGCAGTCACCAGGCGCCGGGGCCTCTCCTCTTACCACCTGAAGCGATGGGGATCTGCTCAACGCATGTGTAACTTGAAGTCGAGAAGCTCACGTTCTGCTCAACGCCTGTGTAACTTGTGTCTTGTGTATACCGGTCTCGTTCCGCGAAGCTTGCTGACACACTGGCAGACTTGTGCTGCTTACTCGCTGGACTCGTCGGCACTGGATTGCGTCACGTCGGTCTGTCGCGCTCTATGTTAGAATAGGCAACACCAGCACGAAAGCATCATTCCCCGAACAAGCTACAAGAAGAGTGACAGCACATGCAAGTGCTTTGCGTCCCACCAGTATCGAACTTCTTTGTCGCAGGTCTCTAGCATCGGACACATTGCCGTGCAGGCTGCCTTTTTTACTCGGAGATGTGTCCTAGTATTACTACTCACAGCTTGCCTCGTAAGCTGTCTTTCCAAGAACTTCGTCCAGAGGACTCGGACAGAACCTCGCACCACGCTGAGACGCGACAGCGGAACACTGCGACGATTCTCACGATGACGCAACTGCAAAGGCAATGGTCGGAGCTGGAAATATGCGCCAGTTGAACTCTGCTGATCTGACAACTCAGATGCTGTCATCCACGGTCAACATGTCTATGCTCCGTTTTGCTAGAGGCTGGAAAGGCATGCGGCAGTCCCATCTGATCTTCTGGAGCAGAGATACTTTTCGAGTGCACCTACAGTTGCAGCCGAGGATGGCCCTAGACTCCCTAGTCCCTAGCCCCAAACGAAACGACGAGCCTCCTGGTCTGCAAGGGCGGACAAATGGCAAGCCTTCATCCACAAAGTCTCTAAGACTCTAAGCCATCAAAGGAACTCGGCGATTTGCACCACGTTCACCTGTCTGCAGCGCTTCGGGACCAGGGGTAGGGATGCAAAACTACAAAATGAAGCAGGCTGGACACTTGAAACAAAGATACTCGACGATGTCTGCCTGGCACCAGCAAGCAACCGGCAATGCAAACCGCACTTCTGAAAAAGCTTGTGTAAGAGAACTCGTCTCGCCCTTTTCCAAGAACCCAACAATAATTATCTTCCACTCCGTCTGGTAAGCGGAGCTCGGAATAAACTTTTTGGACTCAACTCCACATCACCTTGCTGCCGTTAATTGCCTGTCTCGGGGGGATGGGATAGCAGCAATTAACTTGGAACGTTCCGTTCTGTTACTCAGTCCTTCATCATCATTCATCCGTGTCACCCTTGTGATCCGATGCTCGTGACGCATCTCTTGGATGGTTCTGCCCATCCGCGTAAGCTTTAGGGAGAAGCCTCGGCACATACAACATCAGCAACGGGCGCACCTGGAGCTTAGTAAATCAGATGGTGACAGCAACAGCAGACGCAGCAGACGCAGCAGACGCAGCAGCAGCAGCAGCAGCAGCAGCAGCAGCAGCAGCAGCAGCGGCGACAGCGACTGCGACACAGATGTCTAGAGCACCTCATGCTCCGAAGATACGCTGTGTATGCAGTGCATACTATGCACTATCACGAAACGCACAGTACTGTACTGAGCCGGAGCCTTTTGCACAAAGTGGTGGAACGCCTCCCCGAAAGCATCGCCTGAACAGGATTCGGACTTCGGGGTGTTTCAGAATTCCGAAGCCCAAGTGCAACAGCCGCTGTGCAAACCAAGTGCGAAAGCCTCTCTCCAGCACTTCGCAGAGACCGCCGTCTCGTCCTTCCTTTTCAATGGCCTGGCGAGTCGCCAAAGCTTTTGCTGCCCGCAGTGGAAGCTCTTTAAAAATCAGTGTGTGGCACCGGCATGAACTGCACGTGGCACCGGGCACGACAAGACAATGCCACAAAAGAAGATCGTGTGCCGTGTGCCAAGCAACTTCACAAGAACGCTCCAACACAGATTGTAATCAGCATTGGCCGCGGGAAAACCCACAAGGATGATACTTTTCGAAATTGGAGCACAGGTAGCCGCAGGCCTTGTGAAAGAAGGCATACGCAGGCGATATGACGACGAACAGATCCTCAGCTACAAGCGGGCGGGGTGAACCGCCTTCTGGCTGGATCTAGCCCTGCGTATCTGCAAAGTCTCCAAAAACATCATCCACTGCACAGCAATTCAATACACACTTTCGCACTAACAGGAGCGGTGTCATGGCAAGCTTCGTCCGTCTCCACGTCCACTGCACCTGCGCTGCATTGCTCTCTTTGCTGAGGGGCGTCATAAGTCTGTGAACTTGAGTGTGAAAGAAAAATAGCATTCTTGGGTTGCCCTTGCACTGGTTAAGACGGAGACTGCAAGTCTGTTTTCTGCACATGAACCTCCATCTCCACCCATGGCCGCTTTCTGAAGTGCCGCAGTCGCTTCTTGGCGGACTGTATACCTTCTCACACATTGGTGACACAGTGCTTCAGCGCCAGGCTGCGCAATGCCATTTAGCTCCGGCAGGAGTGCACAAACCAAGCTCCTGCAGTACCTAGCATGCTTTATTTAAACTTGGCAGGCCACGTCAGGATCAGAGATAGGTGGACATACTTCATCACCTGCCAGGGATTGTGACCATGAACTGCGCCTTTTTGCACTCTTTGTTTATGCATACATACTGCCACAGATGTTGAGCAAAAACGGCCACCCCCCGCAGGATCCGTGGCACGCTCAAGAGAACCGCTCCTACGCTGAAGACTTCTTGTGTACGCGCACCATGTCGTGTTGTGACATGTGGCAACCAAACAACCGCCGCCAGCTAAACGAGAACGGCCACAGCATACGACGGCCAAATGCATAGCCCCCCAAAACGGTAGGGTGAGTTCGGAGGAAAGACTGCAAGCAGCGGAATGTGCCCTTCTGCCATGCACTGCCCGACCTCCTTCGGTGCGGGACCGATCCCCGGCCGGGTATGTCCGACGATTGCTACACAGTCCGCCGGGAAGTGTGCGGCTCCACGCCTTCTTTTCCCCCGCGGGAAGTCTCGACGACCTCAATCGACCCACTCACCCACGCCTTGCGGAAGGAGCTCCGTGCTGCAAAGAAAGCAGCTGGGGTGGGTGGTTTGCCCGGGTAGCACGTCATCCAGCCAGTCCCGGATGCTGCTGCAAATGATGGGAGCACTCGCCACTGGCGGTTGTTGCACGTTGGTCTGCAAGACTTTCACGAGCCTTTGCCGCTTTTCGGATGTCCGTGCCGTCAGTCCCGCTGAAGATATGTAGCCAAGTGTCCGACCTTTGAGAACAAAGCAAGGACTTGTGTCACAGCCAACGAGTGATCAAATGTTCGATCACAAGATGTGACTGACACAAACCTCGAGTTTTTTTTCAAGCTGCTAGTTTGCAGCAAAGGCGCGGCCAAGCAAATGGCAGGGCAACACGGGAACGGCTTATCCTCAGCAGGGCACCCTCGCTCCGCAATCGAAGGACTCCAGGCTCGGAGTGCTGGGATTGGGGACCTCTTCAGAGTGCCTCAGACTTATTCTCAGGTGCTGTGCCTCAGGCAGCAGCATGATTGGGGATCACAGCTGGGGTGCCTGCTTTAACAGAACTCCCAACAAAGGCATCTCTCAGACCTGGAAGCGCAGTCAAGGAGCCAATGCAAGTAACGCAGCTTCCAGGTAATCTTATCCTTCAAACATGCCGAAACACACAGGACAGGCAAGGCAAGCAGTGCATCACGTATGCTGTCATTTGTGTAGCAGGTGTCAAGCCCAAGCCTGCACCTGTCAAGTCCTTTAAGAAAGCCCACCGGTGAAGACAGCAACCCACGACTCCCAGATCGCCTGGAGCTCCGCGACCTTCACCCTTGGAGGGCTCCGGGCTTCTTGTCATGGACACCGGTTCAGGCAGCGAAGGGTTTGAACTCTCAGAGTTCCCTTTGCGTCCGGCTTTGGGTATTTAGGCCGTGAAAGTGTTGATAAGAGAACTGAGATGAAGTACTACAGGCTAGAAAACAAGCATGATGCGATATCCGAGTGTGCAAACATGAAGTTTGCTTCGGCTTTGTGCTTCTACAATGGCTCGGCCAACACACGCGAACTGACGCTTGCATAATGAATCAGCTCAGTCGGTACTATTTCTCGGTGCTGACTCGCCATATTCCCACGATGCCAATATCTCGAGACGAACTCTCATATGGCAGAGATCACAGGCGCCCTCTGAACATCTTTGTCCAGCGAAGCGGCGCTGCATCGCATGCAACCTCGGGCCCAGGCACGAGTACTCTCTGAGTGTATGGTGCCCCACGAAGATGCCGTGAAAGCAAAATCGCGCCAGCTTCTGAACTGCAACTTCATGTGGCGACGCACTGCAGCACGCGCATCCCAACACACCCTGCATGCTGAACCTTGAGTTCTAATGAAGACAGGGCTCGTCCCGGAGTCGGGTCGTCAAGGCTTGCGCATCTGCTGCTATGAGTACCTCTGGCGGCTCATGATCGGGCCCAGGACAACATCGGGCGGACCAAATTATGATCCCCGACAAGTCTGATCATCTGCGGCCGACTGTGGAGCATCCTCTGGCCGTATTGCCATGAAACCCAAGAGAGCGCCAACTTCCATAACTACTGCTCGTCCAGGCCACAATAATCTTACCACATCAACTTCCTAACTTCATAACATTCCGAGCCTGCCGGTTGACCAAGGTCTTCTAACCCGAGCTTGCTCCATCCGATTGAGAAGACCCGGCTAGTGCGTCTCCGGGCACAGAAGCTGCCTTGTTCTTCTGCTTGCTGCGTCCTCGAGCACCACAGAACACAAGCGGAAGGACCAGACTGGAGAAGCTCTGCTGCAGGCAGCTCATTGGTGGGCTAGTCGGGCTCACAGCTCCGCAGCCCTGATAGCAGTGTGGCTAGGTCTCAGGAGGAATCAATCCAGCGTAGACAAGTCCAACAATGCCCCCTCATTCCCAACCTCATATTCCTGCCGTCAAGCATCGTTCTTCCAACTTAGACAGCACGTCAGAGATTCCCTGCCACGGACTTCGTGCGGAACTAGTGCCGGTCTACAAAGCTGCGTCATCAAGTTGCCACTGCGCGGGTGCATAGAAAAGCTGCCCAAAAGGACAGGATGTACGAGACGAGGAACCCTTCGGAAGTCTTGCCTGGTGAATGGCAGTGGCGTCCAGCTCTTTGCAGGAAACGCCGACTTCCTGGAGACGTCGCGATGAATGTGAAAACCTTTGAAACACAGAGGCACACAAAACCACACCCGTTTACTTGAGAGCTGAATGTACTACAACAAACTGAACAACGCATGATAGTGTGCTGCACCTCCGCCGCACAGGGCACCAGCTATATACGTACTCGAAAGCCCCCATCCGAATCCTCTCCTGGGCGAAGCGTCGCGCTGAGCAGCCGAGTGCTGCTATGGCAAAGAAAGACCTCAGCTCCGGAGCTGCTCTGACTCTGACAGAGGAGGGCTCTGCATCAGCCAAGATGCCACCGAAAGACCATCGCTACAGAACTAACGGACCTAGCATGACCTCTGTCTTAACTGGACAACAGCCAAGATCCTCTTTGGGTTCCCCTTGTAGGCTGGACAGAATGTAGATGACTGTAGTGTGAGCCGTTTGCGTCGTTTGCGTGTTTCGTGGTTGGCAAACAACTGCCAGCTGCAGGTGACCCAGAAGAGGGGCAGAAGTGACTGCAATAGAAACCAGCACACTACAGACTGTCTTTGGTCCAAGTAGAAAGCCAGCTTGTTTTTGCCTGCTTGAGCGAGCTGCCCTCCTTGGAGCACCTGGATTCTGACAAGCATGTCGCACGCCTTCCACCCTTGCGGTCTTCGCAAGATGCAAGCATGAAGAAAGGATCATTCGCCAACACTGTATGTAACAAGAACAGATATGGCAGATATGGTGCTGCGATACATGGGGGAGACGAGGTGAAACTGCTTATTCGATGGAACTATGCTAACTCGTCACGAAGCAACTCGACCCATTTAACCTGAGTGCTGATCCCCATGTTTTCCAAAGCTCGGCGGCGGGCGCTCAAGTACGTGGACCTACCGCATGAGGAGACGAAGCGATCCGAAGGCCCGAAGGCACCCACGAAGAAAGGAAAGGAAGTGCACTCGGAAGCAACACAGTCACATGTCACATAGGGCTTACGACTTGCGACGAGTTCCTACGGCGAGGCTGCAACTCAGGTCTGGCCGTCATTCTCCGGCTTTTGTGGCTCGGCCGGGCCGAGCCAACACGTGCGGCGTCCTTCGCAGTGAAGTAGCTTCCGGCCCGTTTCGTCGCTTCCTAGCTGCCCTGCCTTCTTCCCACTCACCTCGGCGCTTGTCACCTCCACGGCATCACAGGTGCCATCTAGACTCAAACTGATGCCATGTGCCTCGCGCGGTGCAGTAGATGCCAATGCCATGCTGCTTGCCGTTCTTCCACTGTCCATCGTACTGCCGGCCTTACCAGGCACCGGACCACAGTGGGCCAAAGCCAGTGCTCTAAGCATTCCGTCTCTCCTTCTGTTTTGGAGGCCACCTCAAAGGCCAGTTAAGTGCAGGCACGTAGCCGTCAGGCCATCTGAAGATGCCCTGCAAAGATCAAATGCTTCCTTCATCAGCACTTCTCCCGTGCCACGGTGCGCGCACTCGCGTGCCCGGCCTCGCCGTCTTTCTGGTCACTGACGTACTGGCCTTCGTAGCTGCGACCATCCTCCGGGTCGTGGAAACTAGTCAAAACTGCCAAGCCAAGACATTCCCGGTCGACACCCAAGAATCCAAAAACTCGAGGTCAGCTGTAGACCCATTCAAACAAGAACTCACGAAACCTAAACCAGCATCTTCGCCTTTGGAAACAAGGTGTCTCAACTTATCGTCAGCTTTGCAAGCCGCTCAGGTGCAGACCACCCAGCTGAACTGCCCGAACCCATGCATCCTGGCGACACGAGGCGGAAAGGCCTGAAACTTTGAAACGCAGCAGCACGAAATGGAGGGCAGCTTCTCATCAGCTTGAAACAGGTAGCAGCTTTCAGCATTGCACTTGACGATGCTGCCCACGGCCTGTTGCGAGCCCATTGGCCATCAAACTTTCTTCCGTCGCTCCACTTGTAGATGCCAGCCTCATGTTGAGCCGTGATGAGCAGGCCGCACTGTGCGGCTCAAAAGAGAATCCCACACCGAAAGAGGCGACACTCTCTCGATCAAAGTGATCTGTGGTAAAGGTCTCGACCTTGTCTTTTAAGGGGCGATTCGACTGCAGATCTGAGCTTTGCTGTGTTTCCAGGTCTGTGGGGACTTGGTGCTATCATTGCCATAGTGTCTCGGCCATGCACTGGTGTAGTGGGCAGCCCGAAATTTCCTCTGCATCCAGCCGGATCCAGGCTTGGGCAACTTGTGGTCGTTGACAAGTGCGCAAGTGAAGAGACACCTGAATGGCCCGTGACGATTCTCTAAGGGACTTTTGCTGCTCATCAACTTTCCACATCCGGAACACCCAACTCTTTGCCCTCCTTCACGAGCTGCATAGCGGAGTTGGGCCAGGATGCAAGGTGGTGCATGGGACGACAGCCAGAAAATTGAAGATCCAGATCAGATCAAACACCTTCGGGTCTCTTTAAGGATATCTTGCGTCAGCTTGTCGCTGCTCGAACCTGCACCGAGAGCTGCTCAGAATGACGAAACCAAGCTTGTCTGAAATTTCCGGATATCGGCGAGTATTAAACCCCTCTGTGGCACGGATGCAGACAGTCCCTGTGGCATCGCTGCACAGTCTCTTCGAGTCCGAGCCTGCATAAAGCCCATCCTCTAGGACCATGACACCCTGGGGCACCATGGCTTCCCCTCACGAAGCGCTGAGACCCTTCCAGGCCGCAGGCCCCATGAATGTCATTGTTCAGAAACTCCCCCTGGCAGCACACGACGGCTTGGATGAGCAAGCCCAGCTTGAATTCAAAGGACTACATGTCTTCTCCTGTGGCTAAATGTGCGCAGATGCTTTGGAACTCCAAACCTACAACTACTTCCGCTGCCGCTGCCGCTGCAGCTGAGGCTGTTGCTGCAGCTAGGGCTGTTGCTGCTACAAGAGGCGCAGGAGGAGGAAGAGGAGAAGGAGGACGACGACGACTACTGCTGCTGCTCCTGCTGCTACCCCACCACCACCCACCACCACCACCGCTACCACGACGACGACGACTACTACTACTACTGCTACTACTACTGCTACTACTACTGCTGCTGCTACTACTACTGCTGCTGCTACTACTACTACTACCCCTGCTACGGCTACTGCTACTGCTACTACTACCACCACTACGACTACGACTACCACTACCACTACAACCACTACGTCTACCACTGCTACTACTACTACTACCACCACTACTACCACTTCTACTGCTACTACTAATGCTGAAGGACCGGCGTGTAAAGAAGGCAAAGTCCGCCAAGGATCACGTTGGCTGCGCCACTTATTAATTCTGCTGTGGGGCAAAGTTGTCAAATTCGGGACATGGTTTTCTAGAGAGCATGTCGTCCTATGCAACAGACCAGGCAAGAACATCTGAGGCTCAGAGGCCTCAATAGCTTATGCCCCAAGTGGCAAGTGGAGTCGGCCATGCTGCCTTTGCAGCATGAAACTAGAGGCCTGACTACGTTGCGACTCGAAGTCGAGTGATGCTTGCTCACTTGGAAACGAAAAAAAAACCTGCCGCTGCCGCTGCGAATGCGACAGCTACCGCCAGCGATACCGATCCGCCGATCCTGCTACCGACTCCGCAGCTCCAGCTCCTGCTACTGCTACGACAAAAACGATCACCACCGCCACCACGCCACCACCGTGACCGCAAAAAGCCATGACCACGAGGACTACTGCTATGACGACGACGAAGCGAAAGACAGGCCACTGTTCGACGGCCGCTCGAACTAGGGATGTTTCTCTTCCGTGCCAACTGGCCTGATAGCTGGATCCGTCCGCCCAGGCAAAATGGCCTGGCCCTGACTTGTTGCCATGCACCTCATGTCCAGCCAAAGGTGGCGCTTTCAAGCTTCAGGGTCCATGGCGAGCGGTCTTTCTAGAATGCTCAAGACTCTGTGAATTCTCCAGCCGTGCATCTTTGGGCATGGCACGTAGGACCCTGTGTACTTGGCCCCGTCCGGCCACATCTCGGTCCCTGGCATTTACAAGGCTGGAGACTTTAAGGAGCTTTAAGGGGTTTGGGCTGGGCGCCGGCCTTGGCCATGTTGCTTGTCGTCCTGCCACTCGCCTTCGTACTTGGATCCGTCAGCGTGGTAGTAGGTGCCATGGCCGTGTGCCTAAGCAGCGGGGTGCAAGCGCGCACATCGCCTTTTAAAAGCATCTCGCTCTCGCTGTGCAGGGCATGAACTGCTGAGCTCACCCAGTCGAGATCAGATCTATGAACTGCCAGCCTTGTCATCTCTCCACTGACCTTCGTAGACGTCGCCATCAACGTGCTCGAATCTTCCGGAGCCGGTGGCCTGCAGAAGCGGCAGTGCAGTGCAGTGCAGCGCAGCACAGTTCGCAGAGCCGCAGCCGGGTGCAAACTCTCGCACAGGCTGCCACACAGCCGCCAGCGCCTTGTCATCAATCCAATCGCCTTCGTAGCGGGCGCCATCGGGCCAAATCTGCGCGCCTTTGCCGTGCCTCCAAGTGAAAGGACTCAGCACTCAGCCAGAAGACAAGTTGCTCGGAAGGGCTTCAGAAGAAAGCAGGATGATGGTCTTCGGTTAGTGGGTTTTTGGCGTTGGTACGGAGAGTTATGTGTAAGTCTGTATAAGTTACGAGTCTTGGGATCTCCCGGGCTCCAGTCCAGTGGATGAATTTCAACACAGATCATTCGGCAATCTACTGCTGAGCTGTCACATAATTGCACCCGACCTCTATGATATCACAACCTATGTCTTTGCCCAAGGCCTGCAAGTTCCTTTCCACTCGCCGGTGTAGGTGGCACCATTCTCGAAGGTGTGAGAGTCCTAAGCACTGCAGCAACGTTCCGCAGTGTCAACACCCGAACCTCTGTACAAGTTGGCAGTCCCGAACATGTCCATGCGACATACGAGCATGTGAAGCCCTGCCCCGGCCTTCCCGAATCGCCCCGGAATGTTGGAGTCCTCGATATCTTGGAAACGACTCTCGTCCGAAGCAGGCTCAGCGGTTTAGCTCTAGCACTTCATGACCTGACTTCCAACGTTCGCTGGTTGGAGCTCGAAGCATCGCTACGGCACGGACTCTTCGGCCGCTCCTTGACCATTTCGGAGGCATCGCCCAGGTTGGATGCACAGCACGAGGAAGGAGAGGTCCCTCGGAGCAGGATCGGAGTCACAATCCCAGAGACCAAGACCATCCACGGCCCTCAGCGAATCTTGACCCAGCCCAGCGGCCCATGAGTGCAGCGAGATCAGGCAGCTCCTACGCAGCACGAGGTCCTTGATGATTCCATAGGTCTAACTAGGCCTCCTAATGCCGGTCCGGCAATGCACGTTGGTTGATAGTCTGGGCTGTTTTGGGTGGTTCCAATGAGGCTGAGGTTGCCTGCCACATGACATTTTCCCACCGCTGGCTTAGTCTCCGAAGTACACTGGTACTCAACAGTTAAATCTCCGAGAGTGTGCGAGGGTGGATAGCCCTAACATGCTCGGTAACATGCGGTGACATGGTGATAGAAGCTGCGGAGCAGATCAACCTCGTGTTTGGCAGCCTTCTTGCATCCCTCCACAGCGACACAAACACTTAGGACCATTGATGCTCGCACTGACACTTTTGAATCTCGAGCCACTCGCAAGTCGACGAATGCCCGGCGGCCTGAGCCGAGCGCAGGACTGTTGCTCACACATTTAGCCAGGCAGCTCATCATAACCCTCAACCTTGCCTTTGCAAAGTGCCACGGCCTGAAACCCGTACTGGACGCCCTGTGCACATCTGCACCTCCAGTTGGCAAACCCGAGCTCTTGCCAGGACAAGCTGGACATTCACGGGGGCCCATGTCAGGAAACACACCCCTTCATGTGCACGACCGCACCACAACGACTTCTTTCACCAACCTCTGCCGCTGGCGGGTCCGACGACTAATCAATGACCATCGGTACTGGTGACATGTTTCACAACAGTACAATGGCAATAATGGCAGACATGGAAGTAGTACTGTTTGTGGCAGCATCAGAAATGCTGTAGCAAGGGTTGTAACCACTGATAACCACTGCGTCTGCATGCCCGGTCTGGTGTCTCTTTGGCTCTGACACCGGCATGTGTAATGACATGATGCTGATGTTCGTGAGAACCTCGAAAACTCGGATTCCAAGGGTGCGCCGGGCCTGCGCGAGCAAGCTCTTGGAGCAAGGCCGTGTGGCCAAACTGCGAGGCGGCGTGGCTTGCAGCGATGCCCTGGTCCGGCGGGGGCGGCCCGGCCGAGGCAGAGGCGAAAGGACTTAGCCCTCCTCTTCACCACTACGGAGAGCTGAGGAATCAATCTTGAAACAACCTGCCTGAGGCAAGCAAAAACCAATTCAGCAAGAAACCTCCTCATCCGCCACTTCTATGTTGGCTTTGTGGAGGAGCCTTGGATGCAGGATCGGGCTCGAGACTGCTAAAATGCTCCCGTCGCCGAAGCTGCCACTAAGCAACAGCAGCCTCAGAACTGGCACGTGGCCCTCTCCGGCCAAGAAATGCCTGAGCGCACGACTGGATTTGAGGAAGCTGCCGCAAGCCAGCAACATCCGCACAACTCCCTGGACCCCCTTCCCTCTCTCAATGCAAAGCTGTTGCACGGGCCGTGCTCCATAGACATCGGGAGTGTTGGGGTCTGCCTGAAAAGGCATAACGCATTCTCCAACACTCTCCACCGATAGGGATGCTGCATTGCTGCTGCATCTTTCAGGCGCGGTGCTGCTGCCACGAGGCAAAGCCATAAAACCTGCTTGCTTGTGGCTTCAATTTATCTGCCTTCAGCGCGAGCAGCTGGAGCGACACCGAGGTGTGCCCCGTTGCCGCTGCCCAGTGGAGCGGCGTGGTTCCTAGACCGGAGACCAGCACAACTACAGCAAAGCATGCTGAATTTGGGAATGAGTATGTCGCTGCCTTGTTCGTCCGCAGCCTGACCAGCCCGCCGCGCCAGGAAAGCCGTGACCCTTGCATGGCCCCGTGCCGCGGCCCAGCGCAGTGCGTGTGCAGCACCAAAGCCCTTTTCGTCGATGCCCTCTGCTACCTCGGCCTCTTCTTGGGCACGGAGGAGCAAAGCGACCAAGGGGAGGTGGCCGTTCCAAGCAGCCCAATGCAAAGGCAGCAGACCGTTTTCATTTAGCATGCCGCGGCCACCAAGCTGCAGCGCTGATGCCTTGGACTGCAGAGACTTCAAAGCCTCTTGTAAATCTCCATCGACGCTCGCCTGATGCAGTGGAGGCAGCAGGGAGACAGATCCAATGAAACCAACGCCGATGTTGAAACCGCTCAGGCCACAAGTTGCATGTGCCCAGCGATCTGGCACGTAAATGACATCTGATGGTCCAGTCACACAACGCCGCAGGTGCAACGGGCCGTCCGAAGTTGCAATTTCAATGTTCCCGGCTGTCTTGTAGTGGAGGCACGGCTTGCTTAGTGCGTCGGCAGAAAGATCACTGCCTCCTCGTCCCACAAGCCACCTGTCGCAGGGGTGTGACGGAAAACAGAGAGCGTAAATCTTCACCGCAGCCGAGGCGCAGCTTTTTGCCGTACACCTGTGCCATCCAGGCTTCTTCGTGCCTGTTCTGGCTGCCAAGAGCAGAACCAGCAAGGAAGGATGCGTTGCAGTACTTAGGACACATTGACTTGAGGCACATTGCATGTGCCTGTGCAAAACAGCCGTGGAACCTCTTCCACCGATGCTGATACTGGGACCATGCAGGCGCACGTCACGAAGCTCGCTTGGAATTTGTAGGTGACCACGAGCTGTCAGAGGCACTTCGTGGTGCGGCCTGCAGCATCCATGCAAATTCATGGGTAGCCCAGGCCCTAGAGAGTGAGAGACAAAGCGTAAGATATCCCGAGATCTGCAGGACAAGGGTCTGCAGGTAGCAGCAGCCACCGCCGGGAGCCATGGCAGAGTGCATCACGGACGTCCTATTCAGGCAACTGCTGTCTTTCTGATTTTACTGCTTCCATGGACTTTGCCAGCAACGTGCACTCCTACAGGGACGCAGCTTGCACACCAGCCGTCCTCTTCTTTCGCGCGTGTGCCAGGCCGCAGCCTGTTCCGATGAAAGATACAGTATGCCAGTTCTGCTTCTTTGACGTGTGAGCTGCGAGTTGCGGCGCTCCAATCACTTACCCTGCAGGGCTGACCTTGCTTGCAGCAATCCTCCGACCCAGCCCTCAGCTAAATCGGGAGCACCCAGGTGCCTCGATGCAGGTCACTGGGCCGCACGGTGCGAGTACCTTCTTCGCGGGATGGTTGCTCGTTCCTTTCACATGCAAGCTTTCGCAAATCATGTTATAGATTGTTGTGTTGTGCTGACACCTACTCCAAAGAAAATAGCCGACACAGAATACGGCCCTTGGCTTGATCAGAATCGCAGACGTTGAAAACAGCCGAGTAGTGCGAAGCTGTACTGACAGCACTCGGCATCGTGCCGTGATTTGCGAACAGCCGCGATCGCGCCTCGGCAAAAACAGCAATCTGGGAGCACAAGCAAGATTGTTTATGCATCCGTTTCACGATTCTGCTAGAATGCTAGAAGCATTCGGACAATCATGTCTGGTCTCTTGGTACCCTCTGTTACGGCATTCTGAGCCACGGTGCCCAAAGACGTCGCAGCCGCTGCCATTCATTGCCTGAAGCCCGGCCTCCGAAAGCTCAGGACGGTGACTGAGGTTACTGCAAGGCGGCAAGGCCGGCCGCAGTCTGTTTTGGACGTACTGTTGTAGCATCTGAAGGTCTTCACAAAGTTCTAAGCGCTTATCCCGTCTGTTTTCCCATGCCGGCCTGCGGCCTCGACTCAGACAGGATGAAGCCGCGGGCAAATTTCGCAAGAGGATACTCCCACATACAAGATTGTGCTTAGCGCCGGACCACGCAGAACGACGGCGGCCCTCCCCAAGTACAGCTCCTGTGTTGCACAGATATTGGGTGCCCTTCAACCTGCATCAAACCGACCTTTCGCTGGCCTTCTTGCCCGAAAACGCGAAGAACATGATGCTGGGTTTCAAATACCAGCAGCATGTCACGGGATGGCAAACACGATGCCAAACTTTTCAGACTCCACACAACATCCGACTTGTCTGCAAAGAGGCTAGCGCAATGCCTGAAACTGCTTGAGCGATTCGTCCGCCGATTTCGTGAAATCCAATTCTGGCCTCGCAGAATCAAAATTCACTGCACTTCCAGGATGAAGGCGAATGCGAAGTCAGGGTTTGGAATGTGAGTTGTGCGGCGGCATGTGCGGGAATGCTCCCACCAGCGACCCGCCCCCCAAGTATGACTGGCACGGCATGAGAACTTCTGCGTCATCCATGCGCCACCACGTGGATCCTAACGACATTGGCCTATGCTGGGGGTCGGACAATTCACAAGCCAACGTCTTCGTCAAGCCTCGCACATCGCGCCCAAGTCCAAGCAAACGACTTCAAGCATCCAACTTGCAAAGCAGCCTTCCACAGACGGTGGACTCCAAGTTACATGTTGAACACCAATGCCACGCAAGCGTGCTAAAACTATCTTCACTTCGAACCATTACCTCGAGCCTTCAGTAGCGAAAGCACCATGGAAGCATCCCATCGCTGCACATACCGCCACATTGTGCGTCTTTGGCACACGGGCTCGTTCAAAGCACATTTGTCCTGGTGAATCCTAGTAGGACATGTTCGAGAGTGCGTCGTCTGACACTTCCAACAACGGAACAGAACAGTAGGACATGTTTGCCTAGTTGAGACCTCACAAGAAGGCTGCTTCTCTCGCAGCTCTTTGCCAGGCGTTGCCTTGTCTGTTCCTCTTCACTTTTGATGGAGACAAGCCTATTCAGTTCTCTTCTACACATAGGACTACGGGGAGAAGCTTCTGAGAGCACCATGCCCAGGTCGCAGGATGCCAAAACGAGGGTTCTGTAAGGTTTCAGGCTCCGGCATGACGACTTTCATCTCGAGTGTGCTGAATTTGAAACTGCCCTCTCCAGCTTCACAGTCAGCCCGGTGGATGGGGCTGTCAGCCTCTTAAAGGGCTCTGTGGCAAGTACCCACAACATTATGCGCTTGAGCTTGAGGTCCCCGTTACGAAGATAAGATTTCCTCCTGCACCTTTCTACAATCGAAGATCGTTTATACTTTTCGCTGCGCATGAGCACCCAACCACTCCAAACCTTCAGAACTTCCAACCACTGACTCGCGTGCTCAAGCCAACCCAACATCTCCTCCCGACACTCAGTACCCTATTCTAATTACTCTGGAGGCTAGAATCAGAAAGTATTGGGGCACCCAAATCATGCTCCACATTCTAGGGCTCTAGGTCACACAACCATACGCCTGGTCTGCTCTCCTCCATTTTCTCGCTCTCGACTCTTGGCTGCACGGAGCCGCGTCGAGGGGCATCCGGAGGGCGTGCACATATACAGCATCGGCATGTCTAAGTTACGCAAGATCCCCACGCTGGGACCTCAATTCAGGTTCCAAGAGGTCGATCTCAGGCATCGGGGGAGTTATTTAAGAAGGGCTCCCGTCTGAGTCACGCATGGAATACAGCACCCCAGCATAGATTTCGAGTCAGAATCGCTACTGCACGGGCCGAACACTTCTCAACATTCCGAATGTTGGTGTATCTGAATACTGTTGATACAATCATGTCGGCGCAACAGTTATCAGCGCTGCTCAGCTTTTTAGGAAGCCTGCCGGATCGGCACAAGAAAAGGCACTGGGGGAGATCGGTGGCCCGCGGCGGCAAAGGCATCAGCGAAGCGGAGCAGCAGAACGAAATGAAGGAGTCCTCGTCCCGGGTTTGGGAGCTGGCATGGGTCGTGACAAAGATGCGGTTGCCAGTCTGTGCTTGTTGGCTTGACGCCAAGTGAGATGGATCTTCATGCCCGTCATATGGAGATGATGTATGCTTGTCGCGGACAGGACGATCATCACAAAGAGCTTTTAGCGACACCATGGCCAAGCTTACCGCAAGAACCATCACAGTTGTTACAGTTACTATACCACTGTCACGTTTATACTGCGACTAAGTGTGAGTAAAACGTTTTACCGCGCATGGGCTTGGGCTTTGGCGGCTTGGGGCTAGGACGGCTAGGAATCCAAATCCATGAGACCCGAGACCTGGCCAGGAGCTTTCGGCCCGTAACATGAACTCCGGAAGAGGAAGAGACCACCCCACCAGCACTGTGAGGCTTGTGTTTAGGGTCCTGCACTCGTCTTCAGGATGTTTGCCAGAAAGCTCCACTGTGAGAATGAGCCTGGTTGAACTATGCCCATGTAGAGATGCGCACCCACGAGGCTGCACCACAGCAGCTGAAGCAACAGATTGCAGAGCGCAATGGGCTTCATGAGCTCAGTGTGCTTGCGGACCTGGAGCTTCCCCTCCTTCTTCCGTCTGTCCGCACTCAAGGCAAGGAAGCACAACGTGGCCAAGAGAGTGTTTGCGACAATGCAGACTGCATTGAAAAAGTGATGCTGTTGAAACATGAGGTCTTCGAAGGTGATGGAGGTGCAGAGCCAGCGAGCGAGCCAAGCAAGAAGCCAGAAAACCATCGCAGCAGCGACGGCTGCGACCGTGGGGGAAAAGCTCTCTGAAAGATCCCACTGGCTCGGTCCCAGCGGATCCTTCAAGCATCGGACGACGACCAGCAGCGAAGCCACCAGGCGCAAAGTGTCCGCCAAGTCCAGGAACAAGCAAGACATCCACACCCGTGGGTTCGGCCACAAGTCCGAGGAGTGGGACAGGAAGTGGCACATGGAGGCCAGCAGGACGAGAACATGCAAAGCATCCCGGCTTCTCCGGGAGCCTCGGGAGCAGCACCAGCCCATGACAAGCAGCACCATGCCAAGCCTCCAGACGCGGACGACAAAGCGTATCCAGCACCGCTCCATGGCAACGTAGCCGAAGTGGCAGGCGGATCCCTGGCCTTCTAGCCGCCAGCGCCTCCAAGCCTGTTGGTTGCAGTCGTTGCAGAGGCATGAGTCCGTCTGGCAGTCCTGCTGCGAGAACTGCCTCTCTTTGTCCGCGAACCAAAACAAGATGCAGAAGACGAGGGACAAGATGGTAAATAGTGCAATTTGAACGATGCACATGATCAGCTCCCAAACAGAACGAGGAACGCAGCAGCACTCCTTCAGCTGATTCGGACACATGCAGCACATGCTTGGCGATCTCTTCAAAACAGCGCAAGCCTAAACCCTAAACCAAAAAAAGGGTCCTTGTTGTAGAATGCTTGGACTGCCTGGCTGGCTGCCGAGAAAGCCTCCTTCAGCTCCGTGTGTCTATCCTGGCCGAAAACATGAAGCCAAATTGCTACTCCAACGCTTTTACAAGGAAACCTGCAATAGGACCGGCCATGCATTATTCACCAAGTTCATGCACAAGTTCTGCGGCACGGTGATGCATGCAACATACTGCGTTTCATGACGTCCACGAGAATTTGAATACATCTGTGGAATTGTATGTATATTTTAAATGTACATATATATATATATGTATGTATATATGTATACATTATATGTATATATTAATTATTGTATGTATATGTAAATACACGCAAACATACAGCATGCATGTCTGCATCTATACAACTGTATATCTGCACGCCAGTGTGCGTGTCTGTGTATGTGCACATACATATGAGCTATGAATTGTATTTCGTCGCGGGCTAGCGGTTGCCCATCCCCAGTCGCAGCCCGGCTTTTGCCAAACGATGCTCTTCCTCCCCGGCGCAGAAAGGAAGGACACACCGGAGCGCATGCGCTACACATGAGCTACGGTCACATAGCCAAATGACACGAATCTGCTCGTCAACCTTAAAGCCCAAACAAGCTGTCCTTCCCAGACTGCGCGTCTTTGAGCAATAGGATCAACGGGTTTGTCTCGTCCCTTAGCCTGAGCAGTTTGCATTCCTGTTGTCTGAACATATTCATCCAGCACGCTTCTTCTGTGTAAACATCTTTGAGACTTTGGGCCTGCCATGAAGCAACTAGTACACATGCCCACCGATTGTTGCTACACCCTACAAGGAACACCAGCCAGTTGAGCAGCTGGTACAGTTTGAAGGCCTGCATGGCACGCTGGAACCTGGATGCAGCACTGCTTGCGGTTGCGGGTCTGGCAGGCGTGGGGCCTTCGGCTCAGGGTGGCTTTCAGTACAAACAGCGTAAACCCCAAGACTTCTTCATTCTGAAACACGCATGAACTTCCGAAGTCCCTGGCCACCGGGAAGCCGAAAGGCCTGCAGGACCGAACGGAGTCGTGCTTGGGCACTAAAGAGGTTCGGAGACTCAGCTCAGCGACATATAGGCACTCCAAAATGAAACAGAACACCGAGAGCACTAGACGAGGCCATGTAGCAGCTTGAGGCCCGTCGGGTCTTCGTCCAGGATCCGCTGGTCCTGGGAGTCCAAGAAGAGCAGCAGGAGCTCGAGGATGAAGCCGGGGATCGCAGAGAGCATTCGCTTCAGGACACGGGCCGTGCTCCGTGCTCCCTTTGCGCCCGGCTGCTCCCGGAAGAAGTGCCACAAGAAGCTCTCCACCTGTGCCCTGTCGGACGGCGCTGCCCTTTGAGCTGGGCGGGAAACTGAGCGCTTGCAGCACTTCACGCAGGTCGTTAGCTTGTCAAGCCTTACAGAAGAGACTGCTTCGAGCTGCAATCTCTCAGAATGCCAGGCTCTCCAGCGAGGGCCCGACTCTATGCGGTGCCAGATGGAAGGGAAGTTGAAGAGCTCCCAGTTGAAGTGGCTGCCTGTTGTTGGCACAATGTCCCAGGCCACATCGGCGTGCGAACCCTCACTGCAGGTTCGGAAGGATAGGGCGATTCTTCCCATCCGCACCTCGTGAAACATGGGATGCTGCTCTAGCCTCCGTGCCAGCTCCTCGTGGTCAGCTTCCGTAGTGGTCTTGCCTTGCACCGTCAAAGCATAATCGACATCGCTCTGTTCGCCACCTGTCTTGATCAGATCCGTCCCTTTGAACGTCGAGCCGATCGGCGAAAGTGTGACATGGCTGCGGCAAACCTCCTCAGCACAGCGTCTCACCTTCGGACCAGCAGGTCTAAACAACAACTTGTGGCTGCAGCTGGCAGCTTCGCGTGTAGGAGCTAAGAAGACTGCTGCAAACAGTGCATCCTACAACTTTGATCCGGTGCCGAATCTCTGGGACGAGGGGCCGCATGGACCACATCCTGCTCGTGCTTGGGATCCACTCTTTTGGGTTCCAGTGTTTCCGCCAGGCGCTCGAACGAGTCGCGCACCTGCCGGGTCATCGCAAGAGTTCAACTGGAGGCCTTCAACTTCATCCTGGCGATGCGGCTCTGCTCTGCAGGTTCAGAAATTCGGTTGGCCTCATGAGATTCCTGCAGCTCTGCCCAAAACCAGTTGTCATCGCCAACATTGCGGCACATCAAGGCAAACGCACAAGCACAACAACACCGTAAAGATGCTGCCAGTCGTTGTCAATACGGCAGCACGACGGACAACCTGCACACTAAATGAAATGTTTTGGGGTATGTGTCGCGGCCTGTAATGCACCACCAACACGGTGGCACCAAATCGTGTTTGCGCTGCAATTATACTTGCGTGGGGGATTGATCTCGACTTGGTTGCTGCTCTCCCCACCAGAGCTGTAATGAATGTAGGTGTGGCTGGCTAGCACTCTCCACAGACTGGACCCTGTCTCTCCCTCTTACTCCCACACGTGCGATCCTATGCAGGCAGAACCGGCGGCCGTTCCTTTTGCACTCACTGCCGGCGGCGGTTCGTCTGTGCAACGGGATAGCTCTGATTGCTCAGGATAGAAGACACATATAGCACTTAGCTATGGGCATTGACTTGAGCCAAACGTTGCGTTGGCGGTCACATAGAAAGGTAAAGATGAGGGATGCGTAGCATGCCCCCTAGAGTCGAGGGACGCGTAGCGTGCCCCCTTCTCTTGCACTTTACACGGTCTTGCTCACAGCTCTTATAGTGACACCTTAGAACTTGACAAGGCATCGCAGTCCGTTCGCACCCCCCATGAGTTGCGTCTCCGACGCTGCTCACCCGGAAGATGGCACGATAGGACAGAAGAAAATTCCGCCGCAACGTTGACTTTGAAAATCAGAGCTTTGTATCCCAATTAGAAACGTTGTGACACTCATCTACGTCAGTAACGATCCCCTGAAATGACAAACGAATCAGGCGTCACCGAAGAAAGAAGCATTCGCGATGGCATTCCACGGGCGAAGCTCAGAGGTCACGAACTGATAGGCGAGGAAGATCAGGCGTTGTCTCGCCACCATCTTCGCGTTGACGTAGGATCGCGGTCCCAGGGCCGGAGGTTCTCCTCTGGATACTGGTTCCTTGGCTTTCCCTTGTCCTTGCCTTTGTTTCGGCCTTTGGCGGCGATGTAGTCGTGGTAGGAATTGGTGTTCCAGCCACCATGTTGCTCGCCTCCGGTTCTTCCACGCCCTTTTGAAGGTCCCTTGGATGAAGAAGCGCTTTCACGTTCCTCTGTAGTGACAGGCGTGTCCAGGATGGATGTACCACCTGGAGGAAGATAGTCAGCGGCCGAAATGTGGTGTAGGGCTTCCGTACGCTTTGTCGTCGGGTTTTGCTGTCTCTCAGTTTTGGATCTGTTCAATCTGTCCATGAAATGCGCAGGCATTTGCACACTGTGGTCCACCAGCAAGCCGATGGTCTGGACTGACTGATCAGAATGAGTCAGCAGAATACCGACGGGGTCGATGTACAAGAAGTCCACTGGTCCAGTTGGCGTTGGTCGTAGCACTGAGAATTGTTGGTGTCCCGTCACCATTGGGATCACCTCGCATAGGACGTTCAGGCAACAAAAGTGCATAGCCTTTACATCTTCATCCCTGTCGCTCTTCAAGTAAGTAGTAGGGTTGAAGTTGTCCCTGCCAATTCCCATCATGTTGGCTCCCCGTACAAGTAAAGAAAGCATCTGGTTCGTCCGGAAGCGCTTCAAGGTGTAAGTCCCGTTGGGATCATACTGTTTGAGGTTCTCAGGTTCCTTTGCAAAGCGAATGATCTCCTCATCAGTCACGTCCCTGCTCACACCCGTTTCCTTATCCACTGCCGCCAAAGATCCCCACTTTCCAAGCACATCATAGCGTTGGCCAAGTGCGAAACTTTCCCTCATCTGAAACAACGGCATAGTCGCCCACTTTGCGAATCCTGACCAAGCTTTGTAGATGGATCTGCATACCACGTATGCCATGTACGACAGAGCGGTCATGTTCGCGTCAATGCAATGGGCATTTCGCTTTCCAGAATAGTAAGATGGCTGCATGGCGGTACGTGCAAGTTGTAGCTCAGGATCGATGTTCAAAGACTGGCCGGTAATGAAGACGGGACGACGTTCCTGTGCGATTGCTTCTGGAACTGCGTCATCAAAGTCTTCTCCAGGCTCGACGTCCATTTCTTCATCAGGTTCCTGTTCTGGATCGTCTTCCGCGATGACAGATGGTTCTGGGATTTCTTCAGGTTCCGCAACGGTCTCTACCTCCATGGCTTCCTGCTCCTCTTCGGGCGCCTCAGGCACTGCGGCTGCTGCGGCTTCCATTGTCTGAGCAATGAAGTCACTGGGGATCTCCGTAGGAGTCTCCCGTTGTGGAGAACCTTGGTAATATCCGCTCGAAATGAACTGTGACCAGCAAGACGTGCATCGGGAGAAACATGCTGGAACAATGTTGTAGCATGCCGGGCATACCCTCATTCTCCGTCCATCCTCGTCTCTGCGTAGGTCTTCGGGTCGCCAATTCTTGATGACAAACTTGATTCCTTTGTCCATGTAGTGATGCCGAACCGTGTTCTCCCTGTGGGACTCCAGGACAGTCGTGAGGTCACGAATGATCTGCTCCTTGCTTGTGTCGTGGGGTCCAGGAGGCATCTCGCAAAGCAATTCCATGATCTTGCTTGGCGTTCGGTATCTCTCGAACTCGGGAAGCAACGGTGATGCATTGTAGTCCAACACCAGCTCTTTCTCCAACCTTTCATCGTAGATCTTTTCCACCAGAGCGAAAGAGTGTGTATCTCGAGGATCAGGGACGCAAAACCATACCTCCTTGACGAAATGGAAAGGTATCGTTCGACCAACGATCATGATGCCGCTGTCTGTGATACGTCCATCTTCTCGTGCAAGATCTTGCGATGGGACATGAAGGACCGCCAATGGCATGTGCTTGGCGTCTCGTCCGTGTACTCGCATCTTGGTTGTTGCATTCCGGTGATCGAACGGCGCAAACACCCCCCAATAGCTGTGGAGTCTGCCGCCTTGGTTGCCTCGGAATTGGCGCCTATGGTCGAAGTCCCCGTCGGGGTCCTCCGAACCAGGCATGATGCCTTGCGTGACAATGGAATCCAAGTTGCGGCATGCCGTAGCGTGGAACGCACCTCCAAGACGTTGCAAGAGGGTCATAGATGGAGATATTGCGAACCTGTTCTTGTCCAACTGAAGCAAGTTGTTCTGGGGATCTGAATGCGCAGAGTGACCACTCGTAGCCCGAACTGCCCATGGCTTCACCCAGCCGTTGCATAGGTTCAGGTACCTCTGGCCATGCCGGCAATGGTCGTTGCTCTGGATCTCCGTGATCTGGTCCCGAACTGATACCAACATGTTCGAACCTGCTGATCCAAGAACTTCCGTGCCGGGGTCCTTCACTCTCACACCCAGGAACTGCAACCGAATCTTGGCCTTGTTGCGTTTCGTGGCTGCAATCATGTTCCCCTGGAACAATAGCTGAAGTCTTTCATTGTACACTCTCTTCTTCTGTTGGTCATCGGTCCTTGAGACCCCTTCGGTGATGCGTCTGCTTTCATGGGTCCATAGTGGCTCATGCCTCACCAAGTCTTCGATCATCACCCATCCTCCTTCATCACATTTGATGACACTGTTGAATGCCACCTGGCACCTGTTGTCAAGCCATTCCGAGCCTGGGCGCCTGGCGATTCTGTGGCGCAAGTCAGACTGGATGCATGATAGCGCCCAATCCGCGTTCAACCTGCGCTGACGGGTGATGTTGCGAAGGACAACTTCGTTCACGATGTCCCACCGATTGTTGATGAAGCTTGCACCCTTGGTTGGGATCAGGTCGAGAATCCCGCACCGGATTGGCCTTCCGCCGCCGATGGATTCATAGCCTGGATTGGTGTAGCTATGAGTGTTTTCGTCGTAAACATAGCTAGGACGGTCTCCTCGTTGAGGTAGGCGTCGGTCGCGATGGTCCGAAAGCTGCTCAATGATGTCCACCACTCGCTGGCTATTCTCTGGTCCCGATTCCTGCAGTGGTACGCCACAAGCATCATTTAGGCCCCGACGATTCTCCACATCCGTGCAGAGATTGTGTTTATTCTCATAACGGATCAAGACCACATCACCCCGTACGGCTTCGCCTCCGCGTCGCGGTCGGGCTTTGGCCTTGGGTCGTCGGTCCGAGGATGCAACACTCACATGATCTGTGGCGTCAACGTCCATTGGTTCAGCCTCTTGTGTAGGTACTCGACGTGGATATCGAAGAAGACTTTCCTTGATGATCTGGATGCCTCGAAGTACCAGGTCCCGGGTTGCAGCATTCTCTGTGCAATTTGACAGAGTGTGTAGGTCACTGCCACAAGCAACACAGAATGTGATGCGATCGCTTCCGACTGACATCTCGCCCTGAGCGAGTACGCCAACATAGTCCTGAAGCTGCGTGACAAATCCTTCACGAATTGCATGCCTGGGATCAGGGCCTTCTGCACCTTGCTCTTCTTCGGGTTGCGCATCCACATCCACATCCTGTGCAGGTATTGGTGGAGCAACTGAGAACCCTGGATCGTCCGTGACGTTGTCAGCGGCCTGTGTCTCGTCGGTTCTCGCAATCTCTACAGGGTAGATATCACCATCGACGATCACTGTGAAATCAATCACGAGGTCAGCGGACATGTTGTTGACGATCTCAGCGACTGCTTCATTCTTCTTGGGCGGTGTCCTTTTGCGCGGGGAGTCAACCGTGATCAGCTCGATGGCTTCGGCCGACGCGTAGCGGAAGAATGACCTTTCGATTCCTCTCGCGCACGCATTTGCTCCCTCAAGGCCACCCCAATTCATGAAATGACTTGGGTGTCTCATTGCAATCGTAAGAAGCCCGAGCGCCAGCTCCACTGTGTCACCTAGGAGCTCTTCCTTGGGCAAGACTGACCCTCGGTAGCATTCTTGGCGCTCTTCTGGAGTCAAAAGCATCCTCATGAAACCAGCATAAGCGCAGTTCCCGGCGTCGTAGTAGCAGATGTAGCATGTCTTGCCTTCGGAGTCGTACCCTCTGTCCCACGCCAACTGTTTGGCCTTTCCCCATGCCGCGTACTCGATGGCCTGACTGGCTGTGATTCGGAGACCACCGTAGTGAGAAACCGTCTTGCCGATGTC